CTGTCCCTTATTTTGTTGCCATGGTAAAAGAAAGCTACTAGAGCAGAAATCTTGTGCCAAGAAGTGGGGCCATTGCTGTGGTAAATCTGACCTTGGTCAGGGCAGTGGTGGCTCACATCTTTAATCCCAGCACTTGGGAGGGAGAGGCAGGCAGATCTCTGTGAGTTCCAGGACAGCCTCCAAAGCTACACAGAGAACCCCTGTCTGGAAAAAACCAACAAAAAAAAAAAAAAAACAAACAAACAAACACATGAGCATGCAGTGCAGCCTTTGGAACAGGTTTGTGGGAGAAATGTGGAGGAGCTCGATGCTATGGGTTAAAGAGGCTCCAGAGCGCTGTAAGTAGAATGTAAGGGGCCAGCAGGGTGTGATTTCAGAGGGCTGGAATGCTAATGCCATCTGGACAGCAGGAATTCTGTTCATGGCTTCCAGATGGGAGCAAGGACCCTATTGGAACTTGAGGGAATTCATGGTGCATTTTTAACAAGGAGACTGTCTATGTTCTTCCCATGTCCAGAAATCTTGAGACAGGATCTTAAAATAATATGCAGGAGTTTGACAGGTGGAATTTCAAGACAGTGTAACACTCAGACCATAGTATGGTCCTTACTTGCTGCTATAAGCCCCATTTATAATGACAAGCTAGAGTGAAAAGTGGCGCAGAAAGTTGTGGGAAAATATGCAGTTTTCGAGGGCGGGTTTAATGTTATGGTCAAGGTAAGAGCAGATAAAAGAGCTGTAATTGTTTAAGCATGTGCTTTGCTCTGGCACTGCCCTCCACCTGAGGATCCAGGGTATAAAAATGCAAAGTCAGTAGAAACACCTTCCTTTAAAATGAGTGCTTAAGAAGACAACAGAGCCACCAAGGAGGTCATTTTCCCAGGCTCAGCCCCAGGCATCCAGGGAGTGCAGCACCCATGGTACAAGATGAGCACAGAACTTGATGCCATGAAACTGGTGCTGTCTGCAAACACAGAGATCTCAAGAGTTATGGGGTCATGGGGACCTGCATCAAAGTTCCAGAGGAGAACCCATGAGAACAGGCGGCAGGTACAGAACCGAATTCCATGCAAGGGGAGAGGCGATTGGGTGGTAACGGAGACACCTGAGGGACGTGTGCCAGAGGCAGCAGAGACACCGGAATGGGACTAACCAAGTCCATTGGAGCCTACACAATGTCATCACTTTTCACAGCTGGTTTTGGGTTCTCACTGGCACAATCTTTTCTTGCTGTCCTCCTGTTCCCTATTTGGGAATGAGACATTTACTATGCTATACAGAATAAGGGTGTACCTCATGATATGACTTTTTAGGGGCTCGATGCTAAGAGTTTGCTTTGAGTCTCAGAAGAGACTTTGGATTTGGGCCTATGAACAGTGCTGGAACAGCTAAGACTTTGGGGACTATTGAAATAAATGTTGCATTATCAGATGGCCATAAGCCATGGCAAGGGCATGGTTTGGGTGTAAAATGTTCATGTAGGATCATGTTTAAATACCTAATACCCAGTTGGTGGTGCTTTTGAGGAGATTATATGTTAGGAACATGGAACCTAGATCATGGATGTAGGAGACTTAGGGAGAGACCTTGAAGGACTACAGCTGTGTGCCCTGTTTCCAGTTTCCAGTTCTCTCTCTCTCTCTCTCTCTCTCTCTCTCTCTCTCTCTCTCTCTCTCTCTCTATCCACCAAGATGTGGAGAGTGTCTAGCACACACTTTTAGCACCAGGAACTCTACTGTGTCTTCCCCTGTGGGGATGGATAGAAACCATGACCCAAAATAAACCTTCCCTTCCTTAGGTGGCTTCAGTTTGTGCTTTGTCAAAATGATGAGAAAATTAACTAGTGTCAACCCTAACATACATGATAATTACTTTATAACCCAATTAAAAATTTAAAAGTATTACACAAAAATGAGCGGAAAGATGTGAACACAAACAAATACAGAGACAGTGATTAAACACTTGGGTATATGCTCAACCTCACTTAAAAACCACCAACTGGAACACTACACTGACATCCCATTTGCTGAGCACTGGATTGGCAGAAAACATGAATGCAAGGCGTGTGGCCAAGGTGTGAAACTGCCCTTCTCACACACCTTTCGTAGACGCCAGACTTTCCCTGCAAAGGGAATTTGGCAATATTACTTGGTGTTTGTTTTCTAAAGCTGATGTAACCAATTACCATAAACCAAGTAGCTTGAAACAACAGAGGTCATGCAGTTTGGGAGGGCTGTGTTGCTGGAGATTATCTTTGTCCTCCAGGTCCCGCAGCTGCTTCAGCCCCAAATAAGCACACGAAAACTTATATTATTAAACTGTCCACCGATGGCTAGGACTTCTTATTGGCTAGCTCTGTCTTAATCATTAACCCATTTCTATTAATCTAAGTATTTCCACATAGTCTTGACTTACCAGAGAATGTCCGGACAGGTTTCTCCTTTGGCGGCTACATGGCATCCTCCTTCTTGCTCTCTGCCTACCTTTCCCAGAATTCTCCTTGTCTCCTAGTCCCGCCTATCTTCCTGCCTGGCCAATCAGTGTTTTATTCATCAACCAATAAGAGAAACATACATACAGAAGGACATCCCTCCATCAGGGCTAGGTTCAAGGGCAAGGTTTGTCCACTCCATGCCTCCCATCTAGCTCGGTGGGTGTCAGCAGCCCTCTGCGTTCCTTGGCTGTGGATACAACTCCAGTTTCTGCATCCAGCTTCATGTGGCCTTTGCCCCTGATGGTCCTCTCTGCCTCGTGCTCCCTTTGCCTTTCTGTTATGAGAACATTCATCATCAGAGCCAGAGCCCTCTTCAATTGAGTAATCTCTTCCTTCCATCCTTAATTCTGACACATTTACATGTTCTGAGAGTTGCTTCTCAGGGTATATTTTGGGGCATCTCTATCACAAATCTCCTTGTCCTCTCATTTAATTTAATGCAAAATTCTTTTTCCATTAACGGTTTATTTAGTTTATGTGTGTGAGTGTTGTCTGTATGTATGTGTACCATATTCATGCCTGGTGACCATGGAGGTCAGAAGAGGGTGTTAGATTTCCTGGAACTAGTTAACAGATGGCTGTGAGCCACCATGCCAGGAACCAAATCTAGGTCTTCTGCAAGAGCAGCCAGTGCTCTCAAATGCACACACACACACTCTCTCTCTCTCTCTCTCTCTCTCTCTCTCTCTCTCTCTCTCTCTCTCTCACACACACACACACACACACACACACACACCAATACACACTCATATATAAAACTTTCTGATAGGTTATCCAATCCCAAGTAGTCTCTCTGTGTGTGTGTGTGTGTGTGTGTGTGTGTGTGTGTGTGTGTTCATGTACGCCCTAACCCCAAGGCATGTACTATCTTTCTTTTACATGTCTCTCCTATTTAATGATCAGGCTTAAATCTACATTAAAACCTCCTCTTAGTCAATTCCAACCTGTTGGGAACTGGCATTCTGCTGACCCTACCCCAGAAGCAGCCACGGGGCCCACCACAACCTTCTGTCTATACTCTGGGAGGACAAGCCTCTTGTGAATTCTGGTCATAGGTGGGGCCACAGGACCAGCCTACGGAATTTCCAGAAACAACCATATCCCAGCAGGGTGTTAATCAGTAACAGCCCCATGGGGACCACACTTTGGAATAACAAATATTTGCAGAAGGCTTTGGGCTTCGAAGCTCATGCCTCTTCTCTCTGAACAATCTTCTGTCACCAGCGGTCCAGATCTGGTAAGGGGTGGTGGGTGGCAGGGGCCCCTCCAGGGTGTGTGACGGGAAGGGTGAGGAGAAACGCTGCTCTCACTCTCCTAGTGGGCTTCAAGGAGAGGTCTCGGGGGCAGGCATCCTCTTTCAGCTTAGACCCCAAAGGGCTGTAAATCAAAGTTGGGCTCAGGGTGGCATAAAATGCATGTCAGCCGTAGATAGGAGGTGGCCAAAGAAATGGCTCTGAAGACTTGCTGTCTGTCGTCTACCACAGCTCACTGCCCAGGCAGGCGAGCCTTGTCCCACCAGGGCTGGAGAGAGGCAAGGGGGGGGGTACTTCTCCCCACACACTTAGAGCTGTGTCGGGTAAACAGCCCATTTCCTACATTTAGGCTCCCTGTGACCAGGGGTATCCTTAGCATACCTGATGGTGCCCTAGTCCCAGCAGAGAGTGAGCCACTGGGGACATCTTAGTTGCATTTACCTCAACCTCTAGGACAATGGCAATACAGTTGATCATAATATAATGAATGGCACAGTCCCAAAGGCAGGTTTTGCATCTGAGGGTGCAGAGGAATTTCAGAGAGGTAGCAACTGATAGTCAGAAGGTGAGTACGGTGCTGGAAAGCCACTGCCAGGGCAGGGTTAGCTTCCACGGGGCTGTGGTCCTGGGACATGGATAGCTAGTGTGTGCAACGAGACTGAGGGGGTTGAGCCCAGGTCTTGTCCAAGAAGAATCAGCTGTGTTTCCTGCAGCCATCCTGGAGCTGTGGGTAGAAGGATAGGGAACCTACCAGGAACCATGTACGGGAAGTGCAGGGGAGGAGGGGCTTAGATCAGAAAGCTCTGTGTGGGCATGCCTTCCTTTGGTCAGATTCTCTCTTGAAACTTCCAAAACCCCAGTCAAAGATGTCATACATCAAGGTCCTGAAGCTCAGCATGGAGGGACTGTTTGCTATGCCTCATGGGACAAATAATAAAGGCAAAGCCTGAAGCAGGTCAGTAAATGGCCCCACCTCCCACCTGATCCTGTTCTGAGGCCCACTCCGTAGGAAAGGGCCAGATTGGCCAGTGAGCAGAAACTGGGGGAGGGACCACAAGCTGCTCAAGGACCTGGCAGAGGACAGAACTCTGGGAGGAAGGTAATCCCCCCATAGACATGCCTATGGGCTCCAGATCAGCCTAGGGTATCGCTAACCTGCAGGAACCCAGGAAAACCCACACCTAGCAATGAATCTTTATTAGGTATTGAGATATTCTCTCTCCCTCCCCCCCCCACTCCACCCCCCAGGATGAAGGGAAGTGGCCCCTGGCCTCCACAGCTGAGGACATGAGGGCTGTTTTTAGCCTCTTGCTTCCTGTCCTCCTGGCAGAGGTGTGGCTGGCGGCCAGTTTGAACCTCAGCTCCCATTCACCAGAGGCCCAGGCAGACTTGGAGTCTCGGGGTCCTCAGAACCAGACTTTGGAGGAGAATAAATGGACTGTCTCCAGGGATGAAGAGGAAGGAGAATACTGGCTGAGGACTAGCCAGCAGCAGCTCTCCAATGAGACCTCAAACTTTGGGTTCAGCCTGCTTCGGAAGATCTCCATGAGGCACGATGGCAACGTCATCTTTTCACCATTTGGCCTGTCTGTGGCCCTGGTGAGCTTGATGCTGGGAGCCAAGGGGGAGACCAAAGTCCAGGTGGAGAATGGACTCCACCTACAGGCCCTGAGCCAGGCAGGACCCCTGATCCTCCCATCCCTCTTCAAGAGGCTCAGAGAGACCCTCTCTGGCAACCAGGAGCTGGACCTCGCCCAGGGTAGCTTTGCCTTCATCCACAAGGACTTTGATATCAACGAGACCTACCTCAATCTATCCAAGAAGTATTTCAATACAGAGTGCGTGCCTACAAATTTTCGAAATTCCTCACAAGCCAAAGGGCTCATGAACCTCTACATTAACAAAGAGACTCGGGGGAAAATTCCCAAGCTCTTTGATGAGATTAGTCCTGAAACAAAGTTGATTCTGGTGCACTACATCTTCTTCAAAGGTATTTTTATAGCCTTGTGTTGCTACAAAGCCATGAGAATCTGACCCTCTCTCCCTTCCCCTCTGGCCAGTGTAGTTAGCACTAAAGGATGCTCTGCAAGCAAGGGTTCTGCTTCCCAGGCCCAGCACACACTGAGGAGGGAAGGATGCTTTCCCCAAGGCCCCCACTCTCACCACTGCAGACCTATCTATAGTCCTGAGACCCCACCACCAACTGCAGACATGTGGTCCTCAGTTTCCACAGCTCCTCTGCCTGGTTTACTTCTAATGTTTGGAAGAAGTAGCACGGGGCTATTGAATGAGAAACTATCAGCGAGACTTGGGTTGCATCCCTACTCCCATCTTCTGTTTTTGTGGTCTGGGGCAAAATCTTTGCCCTTGGATTTGTTGTCATTATTATAGTGTGTGTGTGTGTGTGTGTGTGTGTGTGTGTGTGTGTGTGTGTGTGTGTGTGTGTAGGTATACCCATCAGTCAGAAGTGCTGGATCCCCCTGCAACTGGAGTCACAGGCAGCTGTGGGCTGCCCAATATAGATGCTAGGAACCAAACTTTTGAGTCCTCTGTACAAGCAGTATGTGCTCCTAACTGAGAAGCCACCTCCCCACCCCCCTAGTCTTGGATTTTTTTTTTAAATATAAAAACTGGGACTCTAACTTGCTATAGGCATAAAGCCACAAGAGCTGACATGTGCAAGGTACTGCACACTGTGCTTGGCGCTTGCTACCCACCACAGGACAGGAACAGATTGCATCTTTGTTCTTCCTGCCAGTCAATGTAGCTGGCAGAGTAGGGCCACTGTCTCCTTTCTTAAGGGGATGAAGGTGAAGGTTGGAGAAGCTAGGCTTGATCAGGGTCACACATGAATGGCAGAGGTTAAATGCAAAGGATCCCACGACCTCATAACCCCAATTTCTTCTAGCTCCAATAGGACACAAGGGATAATGTGCATGCCTCTGGTGCTTAAAGCTGTACCAGGAGACTCATGAAGCCCCGGGTAGAAGGGTCACTTGCCAGCGCTCCCAAATAGACGCTCAGTGTAGAATCATGTAGTAGCCTCTCCTGCTTCCAGAACCGCATGAAGCGATGCTGAGCTGGAAACACACCCCCACTGCCTGCAAAGTATATGTTTGCCTATGGGCATGCTGATACCATGTGATGGAGCTAGGAATCCATTATGCAGACAGCCATTGGAAGCCATCCACCAGGAAATGAAGTTTTGTTCAGATCCAGAACAAGGTGAACAAAGGAGAGAAGGGGGAGTCTTTGCTTTTGTGTGAGGTTCCATTATGAGTCATGGGTAGAGCTGAAGTTTGACCTTTGGGATATTTCCACACAAACTTGAAAAAGGAACAGCATTCCCTCTATCACTCGAGTGAAATCAATGTGTTCTGTGGAGGTTTGTTTCTTTAGGGGCTTTCTTCTGACTTATTCAGGGAAGTGGCTGACTCCATTTGACCCCGTCTTCACTGAGACTGACACTTTCCACCTGGACAAATACAAGGCAGTTAAGGTGCCCATGATGTACCGGGAAGGCAACTTTGCCTCCACCTTTGATACGAAGTTCCGTTGTCACATCCTCAAACTGCCCTACCAGGGGAATGCCACCATGCTAGTGGTCCTCATGGAGAAAACAGGTGACCACTTGGCCCTGGAGGACTACCTGACCATAGATCTCGTGGAGACATGGCTCCAGAATATGAAAACCAGGTATGATGCTTACCCTGCCCCTCAGACTTGCCATCCTCATGAACACTCCCAACAGTTTTACCTAATACCCTGTGGCTTACTGCCCATGCTCCCCAGTGAGCACCAAGCTTCTGCAGGCAGAAGCAACATCTGTCCTGCTTTCGACACTATCCTCAGCATCAATCCAGTGTAGGCCTAGCTTTACTGCTCATTAACTCAGCAAATGCAACAGTTTGCCTATTGAGATACCCATGGGTGCCATGGTTGTATCAGTTAAGAAGCCAGGCAGAGGGAGAGAAACAATACTGTGTAAGAGGACAGAGCACATCGGCAGGTCAAGGCCAAAGCCAGGGATGTTCTCACCTAGTGATGAGGGGTGAATTGCATGAGTATGTATGGGGGAAGAGTCTTTAGAGGCAGTTCTTGGATATAGCACAGCTGGTGGCTCTAAGAAACAGCAAAGTGGCCAGTGTGGCTGCAGCCAGTGGAGAAGAGGTGAGAGGATTCAGACCTCACATCACAAGCTCAGAGACCTGGGCTTTGCCTGCAGGACATGGGGACACAGAGGGCTCTGAACAGAGGCTCCAGGAGATCTGATGGAAGGGCCACACAAGAGCCTAGTGTTGAGAGCAGGCTGAGGACCATGAGGAAGCCGGTCAGAAGATGCTGTGTAACTTTAAGATGTCACTTAGGCTATGGTGGCAGCAGGTGAGATGACTGAGGCAGATAAGACTGGATCTGCCAGGAAGGAAGATGAAACTGATGACTAAATATGGAACAGGGTGGGAAGAAAAAGGGAGAGACAATGGAGGCTGGATCCTGGGGGCAATCAGTCAGTCAACAGTAGCTGTCGTTCTTGGCTTCGGCATCTCAGGGACGGGTTTACCACTGACTAAGAATGTGAAGGGAACAGGTCTGGTAGTGAGTTCAGAGCACAGTCCCAACATCTGGACTAGAAATGTCTCCCTGAGCTCTATGCAAAGAAGGCATGACCAGAGCTAGACCAGAGTCTGACTCTAGAAGTGACAATTGCCTGGCTGGGGTTAGGACCATGAGAGCATTTCATTTTTCTGCCATTTTTTTTTCAAGCATTTATGCACTAGCAAAGGCCTGAAACTTGATCCCTAACAAATGTTTGCTGACTGACTACATTTATGAATGAACACTTAGTAAAGTCATATCCTCTGTTATTTCCAGCCTGGAGCCTGGCCCAGCTGTGCAACAAAGAGAGATGCAGGGGAAGGGTGTATTTATGACATCAACTCTGATATTGGTTTATGTGCTACTCTTAACAGAACAAGAAAACTGAAAATCAAGATTAATTTGATGTAATTAGTAGCTTTTATTTATTTTTTTTTAATTTCTAAGCCAAATAACTCATATTCCAAATCTCATATCCTCAGAGAACTCACTCTGGGGAAAATAAATAACCTCAGGCCCCGGCTAAGACGGCAGGGCCTGTCCAAAGCCCTCTCTGCTTCCTTTGCCTGCCCATCTCCAAGTTCTCTGGGAATATTGAGATCTAGGGTGCTGGGTGGGGAAGAGCATGTTCCAGCAGTCTACAGGGATGCAGGTAGCAGCTGGGGGTGGTGGTTGTTGGGATTGCTTTTTAAACATAGGGAAATTGACATGGAGTCTGGCATTCTTTGCTAAGCAGCATTTTGGGTAGTGAGCTGAGAAGCTAGCTCCCTGGGGTAGACACAGTGATGTTTCATAGGCCAGAAGTATTTTCTCTGGGACAGAACACTACCAAAGGATCACATGAGCTATCCTCAGTCAAGCAGAGGAAATGCTCTTGAAGGAAGGATTACGCACGCCCTGGTGAGCCATTTCACCACCGGCTGTCTTTGTGCCACAGGAAGATGGAGGTTTTCTTTCCCAAGTTCAAGTTGGACCAGAGGTATGAGATGCATAAGCTGCTCCAGCAGATGGGAATCAGGAGAGTCTTCTCCACCTCAGCTGACCTCAGCGAACTCTCAGCCGTGGCAAGAAATCTCCAGGTGTCCAAGGCAAGTCAGGGGCTGTGCTGAGGCCCAGTCCTCGGCATGCAATACCACTGAAACCAACACATACTGTGCAAACCATGTCACTGTGATTAAGTATCTAGCCATAGTAGGGAATTCGACTCCAGTTCTAACAACTGTAGCATTCAAACCAGGTGTTCTAAGGACCCCAAGCCATGCTACTGCTCAAGCACCATTTTAAATAGGTTCTCATTGGAAGAGCTCCATCCCTCCTCCCTCCCAAGGCCTAGGGAGGCATCTGCCCCTCATACAATAGGCTTTTCACCCATCAGTACCTGTGTTGAATATCGAAAGCGTTCATGAATTAGCATGAAAGGAATCCCTGGTCATTAGCGGGCCCACCTCCCATGCCCTGTGATAGACATTCCACCTCCTCTATAAGTAGCCCCAGAGATCCGCTCATTCTTCCGCTCCCTGTCATTCACCCTCCTTCCTGTTCTTCAGACAAGGAACTCATCCCTTCTTTGAAAAGCAGCCCAATACACAAACGGCTGATTATTTTGCAGCATGCTGACTGGTAAGTTCTCGGACTCACACTTCTTGGTCCTGCTTCTGAAGTACTGAGAACAAACCGATTCAACTTAGGTAACAGTCAGCATATACTTGGTGCTACTGCTGTTGGGGCCAAGCTGGTACCTCCGGAAGATATTTTGAGGTGTCTGGACATGCCGGGTCCTTTGAGGTCCTTCTGGCGGGCAGTGAAGGGGAAGCTCATGTTTAGCCTTCTTGCTAGCTCACACCAAATCTCGAGGGAAGCAAATCTTGGTTCTTGCAGCGATCCTGTGCACTGCAGTGAAACTAGTTAGCATTCCTAGCATTCCTGTGTGCATTACGACTCTCTCCCTCACCATACAATCAAGAGGTTTGATTCAGATTTGCCAGTATCACTGTTAATTATGAGAGATTTAAAGCGGTAACAGGTACGTGGGAGCCAGTACAGGGTAACCCCAGTCTGAGTACAGGTAACCAGGGTCCAGGAAAGCACCACAAACCATCAGGCTTGCCCCCAGGAAATGCCTCAGAGCAATTATCAGGCAGCTCAGGGTGCCTTCCAGGACAAGAAGCTCAGCTTAGGGATCAGCATCACAAAGTACATGCTCAATAAATACTTACGAGATGCCCATGTGCTAAGCCAGCTCTCCCGGTTCCAAGCCCAGAATGCATTGCACAGAGCCCACAGAGCCCATAGCCTCCTGGTATCACTTTGATTTAGGAGGCAGTCTCAGGTACAATCTCATGCACCTCTTAGCAAAGAGAGGCTGCAATGCTGAACCCCGGGAACATGGCTGGGTGGGCAGAACTACTGTGGACGTTTTCTGTCAATTCCCACTTCCCACTGTCACACAAACAGTCTTCCATGTCCTTTCCTTTTCTAGGTCTTACAGCAATCAGTGCTTGAGGTAGATGAAAGAGGAACCGAAGCAGTGTCGGGGACACGGTCAGAGATTGTCGCTTACTCCATGCCTCCTGTCATCAAAGTGAACCGGCCTTTTCATTTCATGATCTATGAGGAGATGTCCAGGATGCTTCTGTTTCTGGGCAGGGTGGTGAACCCCACTGTCCTGTGACTCAGGCGTGTATAAGCCTCAGTCACAGCAGCTGCTGAGCCAGAGGTGTGGGAACCACAGGATGCTGGTAGTGAATGGTTAAGGATGTGCCCTCTGCATCCAGCCAGTTTGTTGTGGCTGTTCTCTGATCAACACAGAAATTAAAATGATATCTGTGCGATCTGTCCAGAATTTTATACTTGCTCCAGAGAGCCTTTGCTGACTGACTGAAGACTGGGTAAGGAGAACCCTTCTCTGCGGCTCGCATGCCTGGACTTTGAGAGCAGTAGGTAGGACAGTGGATGTGGAACAAAGTCTCTGGGAATACATGGACATTCTCCTACAGGCATGTTTTCCCTTTCTATTTCTCCCTTGTGCTAAATCAGGGTTTTATTTTAGTTTATCCCAGAAGTTTTCTCTCTTTGTGTCTCTCTCTCCCCCGCCAGTCTCTGTCTCTCTTCTCTTTTCCTCTCCTTCCCCTCCATAACTCACCCAACCCCCTCTCTCTGAAAGAGATCCACAACATAGCTCTGGCTAGCCTGGAACTCTATATAGACCAGGCTGGCCTTGAACTCGGAAACAGTTCACCTGTCTCTGCCTCCTGAGTGCTAGGACTAAAAGTGTATGCCATCAGGCTCCGCGTTTTTTATGTACTGTAATATGTTTTAATTAATTACAGAATTCTTTCCTTTTTAAATAAAATTAGCAGTGAATCCCCCTAGTAGCAATGTCTGGCTCCAAACCCCCACTCGTCTCCATGACACATCTAGTTTCCTGTCTCCACCACAGGAACCACAAATCGTGCAGTTCAGTGCTTTCATTTTACAAGGAAACAAACAGGCCTGAACTAGGGCCACGTCCTGACTTTCATGAGTGACAGCACTTTTCCTCTGTGCACTCCTGTCTTCATTAGAGTTTACATGCGTGCATATAAATACATATACTAACAATGACCTTTTAGAATTGCTTTGGGATAGCGATGAATTCAGTCTCAATTATATTCGCTGTTTGCCAACAGAAAGTATATGTGTTGCTCATCGATGATTAAGGAAACATCTTCCAGAGCTTTTATCAGGAGGGGGCATGACTATAGTGCCCACTGCACATGGTCAATACATCAAACCTTATATCTCAGTGGGAGGGAACGCTTGCCCAAGGCCACTCAGTGTGACCACGGTAAGCCAACCCGTCTCCTTCCTGTTCTAGCCTCAAGTCCTTGTCACGCCATCTTCCCTCTCTAGTCTCTCAGAGACTGTTGACCAATGGGCTGCCTTTGCCTCACTCACCCACTGCAGTCAAACAAAAGGCATCATGGACTTTGTCCCAATATGAAAGGAAAATGAAAATACCTCTAAGGCATTCTTGGGCAATCATTTTCTATCTTATAGAAATGAAATAAGATGGTCATTTGGGAATAATCAGAGATTCCTGAATGGGGCTAACTAGACTCAAATGTCAGCTGTGCTGACTAAATACTTCATTGCATTTTCTCTCTGCTGTCTAATATATAAACGCATCTAACGTTCATTTATTTATTAGTTACTCAATGACTGTATGTCAAGAGTAGCATGAACAAGAGGCAGTGTCAAGGGACAGTCTAAACCACATGTCCTCACCTCAGTCTTGACATGAACTCACTCTGTAGTCATCCAGGCATTAATAGATGTTCATTTAGGATCAGAAAACTCTGGGGCTTAGGAAGAGAGACAAGCAAGGATGGATCTAACTGGCATTTGTAGGTACTTGTGTTCAGTTATGTGAGTGGGCTTATAGGGAAATAGTAGGAAGAGAAATTTTATATTTTTAACAGATTTATTTTATGTGTCTGGATGTTTTGTCTGCATGTACACCTGCACATCAGAAGAGGGCATCCTATCCCAAGGACTACAGTTATAGACAGCTGTGAGCCATCATGTAAGTGCTGGGAACTGAACTTGGGGTCAGAATGAGGAATTTTAAAAGAGGGTTCTGGCTCTTTCCTCACTTGGAGATGATATCTAGAAAAGGGAACCTATGGGCTATACCATACTGAATACACAGGGCCAAAGCCAGTGCCAGGCAGGCTAGCACTGCAGATGGAGCAGGGCACTGTCTACACACCGTTAAAGAAGATTAGGACTTCTGACACAATGAAGATATCAGTGGATGTTCCAATCCACTACCCATTTGCTTTTAAGTCTTCCTGCATATTTGTTTCTGGGGTACAATTTTAATAAAGATTCAAATTTTTTAAAAGTTTTTAATGTTTGTGAAAAAATACTCCCAAAAGTAATTTTGAATAACTGCTTTAATTGAGAATTTAATGCCTAAGCAATTGACTTCCAACTTTATAAGCAGTGGTGACTCTTCTCTGTCAGAACACTTTCCCCTTATCCCACATATATAACAGGAATATAAAAAGCTTATGACTGCTAAGTGTATTATTTAACAATCAAATTGAAACTCTCTATTTTATCTGGAGTAGACAGTCAATGTCGGCTTTTTGAACCAGAGTACTAAAAATACTGATGCCCCCTTGATGCCCCCTTGTGCACAATGAACTCTCCAGACCACAGCAGAGTCAATTCCACATCACTAATGCCAGGAGCCATAAACTTGTGAAACTTGATTTCCTTATGCAGGACGGTCAAATTTCTCGTGGCTACTAGACTCTCACTTCTGACCTGACTATCTTTGATGAAGGGTGTTATGAGTCCCTAAAGAGATATGAGGAACGGAAGGAGTGACAAAGAAAGAAGAAACAGTAAGCAACTGTCCCTGAGCCCTTCCTTAATGGTTGACACAAATACGCTCCACTTGCTCATTATGTAAAGATGAACTGCCTTCTCCTTACAGAGTAAGAACTGTAGGAAAGTATTTCAAACTTTTCTCACAAGTGCTGGTAGCTCATTAACCTCTGCTTTATTTTAAACAAGCTCATTATCCATTTCACATTATAAAAAGTAACCACGCACATGTATGCATTCACAAATTAGATCATCTTTATCATACATCAATATATCTTTAAAAAAACAAGTATTTTATGATATCAATATAGGTATATGCTGATTGCATTTGAAATAGAGAAGCTGACAATAGCTTCATACATTCTATCTCAGGAACTGACATTGTAAAGTTAAGGACAATCTATGTTCCACAGGCAAATTCTGATGGAAGTATTAGCATTAGTACAAATGGGTGCTGTTGACATAGCATGAGCATGATAGCTTGGAATAACAGCTGATTCAAACTAGATTCATCATTTGAAATTAAGGACGGTACAATCCAAAATGTAAACAAAGCATTTATAAAAGAATTTTAGGAATTAAGGAAATCATCAACCTATCATTTTAAAGGTATTTTTGTGGCTAAAATTTTCATGAATCGTTTCAGATTTTCATGGCCGAATCTAGACTGGGGTCATCTAGGTGCTGACAGTATCACAGAATCCCAGGACCCATGACACCACAGACAGTATTGGTTTGACTTGTCTGCTTGGCTTAGACAGCTCTGAGGAAATACAGTGTCTTCCTTACCTCCCGTGTGCTTGCCCAAGTAACTACCCAAGGAGCAATCAGCTAATCCAGACAGCTATGGAATTTCTCAATTTACAGCTGAGAATAACCAAGAGCCAGCCTCCCACAGACACAGGCACATCTCTCCTGCAGTCTGAGCACACACCTCAAGTTGGAGCTCAATTGCACTGCACTGGAACACTGGGGTTCAGAGCCCACACTAAAACATGCCATACCTCCTAGGGAATCTAATTCCTAATAAGGTAAATTTCACATCAGCTGCATGGTATTCCTTTGTCTCTTCCACACTTAACAAGCCTGGCATCACTGGAGCCATCCACCGTCACAATGTCCGCTGACTGCTTGCCTCCATCACCAAGCAGTTGACTTAAGGATTGGATTTTCTGGATTTTCTGATGAAGGAAAGAAATAAAGAGGAAGGAGAGAAGGGAGGGAAGCAAGGAAGGAGAAAGAGACCAAAAAGAAAATGTAAAACAATTGTCCATATAAAGTAAATAAAGAAATGTAAATATGCTACTCAGAGAAAACCTACAATATGAGAACTATGGTAGAGAGGAAATGTACTACACATTAAGAATCATTCAGGATTACCCGTAAGTATCAAGGACCATCCTGCACACACTTGCTACCATCCCCTTCAATTTACATATAACTTTTCCTACACCTTCGATTTTGTATAGTCATTAAGGAAATTACACAGGCATATCAACTGTCCAGCCCTGGAAGACAGAAGCTATGCTGCACACTTGTACTCGCCTTATGACACACTGCTTGTCAACACCAGAGCTGCCCTATGGTAAAGCAGGGGAATGTCCTGCACAGAATTTTCCTAAGAAGTAAAAACTATGCTAACGCTTTCTGCAATCACTTCACAGGCTTATTTTAAATAAAGAGGACTTTTTTCTTTTCAATTTGAATATGACAGTCTCTAAATTATGGATAATGCTTCACTGGAAAAAGACCAGTGTAGATATCAACTACCCATCCAATTAATAGGCATGTTAGAACCGTGTGTGGGAAGAGCCAGGGGCTGCACTGCCAGGCATGTGTGAGGAAGGGGCTATACATGCTTGCAAGCATTCCTTCAAATGACTTGAAAAAGGTACAAACTCTGAGTTCCCACTGGCCTTTATTGTAGATTCATTTTGGTAACCATCAGTTGTGCCAGAAAATAAGAAATTCATTCTGCATAAAGGAAAGATATGCACAGCAATCAGTCAGAACAGATAAAATATCTGGAATAAAGGAAAGCTACATGAAAAAGAAGTCTTTTCTTTAAAAAACAAAACTAGTTACAACAATGCTACCATGTTCCTCGGAAGTTCAGGGCAGAAGAGGGTCTATGGTGAGAGAGAAAGATCTCAGGATATGGAACTGACCTGCTATGGGCCAGACCTGCTATTTGACAGATGTGCAGAAGCCCCAGAGCCCTGCAGGCTCACTAATGAACAGTTAATTTGCTCCTACTAGAGTGGGTACATGGTTTGAGCCCAGAGTACTGCAGATCACGAACCCATGCCACCTCTGTCCCCAGGCTCTCTTTGGAAAGAACACCATTCGAGTTAGCACCACTAGTCTGTAATATCCAAATCATCTGTTGCTATGATTAATTTTGGAGCATTTAGTCTCACATTCAATCTTTAATTTTGAATTCTGAATGAAATGGGGTACACATATTTCCAATGTACATACAAAATGGCCAATCGGAATTGAAAATAATTATAACACAACCAGTTCCTAAAAGGAACTCAAGCCAGCCAGAGAAGAGTTTCCAGAGAAAGATGCAGGTGAAAAACTTTATTCAAAAATGTGAGCTAGGCATAATGAAGTGTACTTGTTATCTCAGAATTTGGGAGGCTGTGGCAAGAGGTCTCAAGTTCTAGGCCAGAGTGGGCTACATGGTAAACCCTGTCTCAAAAACAGAAAGGAAGAAAAGAAGGAAGGAAGGAAGCAGGACGGGAAGGAGGAAGAGAAGAAGGAAGGAAAAGAACGAGAAGGGAAAAGCTCATGAACTTAGGGGAAATCTGAATCTTGCTAGTTTCACTGTCATTTGAACAGCTATAGCCATATTTAGGCAACCGTGCAGCAGTGTTACTGTGATGATTTTCAGGGTATCACTCTTTTAAGTGTTCAAAAGAAACAAATTCAAACAAGAAGCAAATAGCACACAAAACAGAACCATGGGGAAAGGAAACAGGCCCTTTATAACTTTAACTTCAAAGAACAAGTATTATCTACTAGTATGTTCAGCTACTGGGTCCCATGCTGTTGTGGCACCTCCAAGTGACATCAGCTATAGCCACCTTTCTGAATGCCAGGTGATCAGACACTAGGTAGGTATTTAGATACCTAGTAGACAACGTCTCATTACCATATGTTAACATCAGGTATCTCAGACACACTAGCATAGTCAAGGCTCTCACCTAACTACCTTCATCTTACAACATTCCCTCGGCAGAGCCATTTTTAGTTCTTTGAAGTGTGGAGGTGGGAAGGAAGGTGCCCTGAGCCAAACAGCACAGTCAGCAGTGGAAATGGTACTCACAAGGTAGCCTTCCGAGGCTGGACATCTTTAGTTCCACTACTCTTTGGATCAGCTGTGTTACCTGTCCCACGGGAAGTACTGGGCAAGACAGGGTTAGGAGAAAAGGAAGCTGGAACGCTATTGGCATTTCGAGTCCGGAATGAGTCATCTGGAAGTCACATGTGGAGAGGGAGAGGTGTTGATACACTCAGAAAGATGTTTACCAAGGAGAGAAGACTCCAGATGGGGAGCTTTTTTTCTTATAATGTAAATACAGTAAACTGTACTAATTAAGATTTGGCATGTGTATAATCCACTGCCATTACCACAATCAAGACATGAAAACATGCCATCTCAAATGTCCCCTTGGGCCCTTAATAATTCCTCCTCTTTTACCTCCCCTTTCCCCCTTGCTAAAGATTAGCCTGCATTTTCTAGGATTTTTACATAAAAAGATTCATACAGAATATGCCGTCAATTTTTTCTTAGTACTGAGATGATAAATGGACTCTGCTCATCTTGCTTACAAATTACTGGAAGTGTCTGTCTCTGCTTCAGTGGGCCCCTCGACCGCGGTCAAGTATCCTACCATTAGTCCTTTCCTCTATGATCCTGCCATTAGTCCATCTCCTCTCTTTACAAGTGTTAAGCTCTGAGTCTTGATGTGGTTTTAGAAAGTAGCACATGGTCAAGTATTTCCTGAGCTGCTGGGTTTTGGTAGCACTAAAAGCCTATTAAGAGAAAATGGTTGCATCCTAGCCAAAAAGAATGGAATCTGCCTCTGAATGGAAGCACACCATTGTCTGCTCCCTTAATGGTTAATGTAGTTGGGCAGATCAGTCACCTGACCAAGGGAGCATCACTCAGGAAGCCATGCTTATAAGAGCTACAAAGAATAATTATCCTTACATGAGATGATGTAGTTTTCTTCCCAGAATTCCGTCCCTGGGATCCCTCTGAGGTTCTGTTGGTTCTGCCCAACTTCCTGAGGTCTGACTCATAAAGGCCTAACTTTTCTTTTTCCTTCTCTCCAGTCTCTTCCTCTCAGAATCTGGCCAGAGCCCCAGCACACTGTCTCTGGTATTTTGGACTTCTTACTCCTATAAATCACCCCTCCACGCATCATGGAGGCTTGTCTACCTCCCTGCCTTAACTCAGACAGCATGGTTTCCTCTTTTTCTCTTCTCCATTTCTATTCTGGCAACTGCCAAGTTTGACAGCTTGTCCTGTTGCTTTTCTCTTGAATTCTAATGGAACTATCCTCAACTTTCATGTCTGTTTATAAATTCATTTATTAAGACAACTAAGAACCCCAAAAGGGAACCTCAATTTCCCCAGTGACAGGAAAAAGTTTATTGCTTAAAGACTTGATGAGGATACACATTTAAGAAAAACATCATGGGGCTGGAGAAATGACTCAGAAGTTAAAAGCACTGGTTACTCTTCCAGAGGACCTGGGTTCAATTCTGAGCACCCACACAGCAGCTCACAACTGTAACTCCAGTTCCAGGGGATCTGACACCTTCACACAGACATACATGCAGACAAAATGCCAATGCACATAAAAAGAAATAAATTGAAAAAGAAAAAAAACACTGTACTTAGAATTAGAAGAATGTATTGTTTAAAGAAAATAATACTTCATTAAAGTAGCCATTTTTGGAAGAGTGTACACCGCTGCTTACCAGTTAGTGAAAGCATGGCCGTCCTCACCAGCCCTGAGACAGTTGGCGTGTGAGCTAAGGTGGAGCTTTTACTAGAAAAAAAAAGTGATGGAGTTAGGACCTAAAACCACACTTCTCAGTCTTAGTTACCTAACACTTGGGGGTTTTAACCTTGTTTTGTGAATGCTTCCTTCTACTTCTTATGAAATATGCCTCTTGCATTTATTTTTTTATATCCATGCTTCCAAATATATCCTTTCTCATAAATGATGGATAGATTCTATGATATTTTTATGTAATGTCAAATAGTCTTCCTACAGTGCAAAGAGACCTATTTTTATACAAATAACAAGTACCTTCTATTTTTAGTGTGATAATCTTTACAGAAGGAATTGACAAATTGCCAGCCCATATAAGAATACAAAATTAATTCTGATTATAGTGATATAAATATTCCATGTAGATAAATGGGGTGACCACAAAGTAAAAACTCCAGTTAAGAATGAACAATTGATAGCACATACCTAGCACACTTGTCTAAATTGCCATATTTTGCATGAAATGCTTGATTATTAAAAGATTGGCTTCGAATCAATTTGGATTTCTTGATTTCTTTGCCTAAAGCAGAACAAAGCAAAAATACAACTCTCAGTTCCCCCTTAATCATTCCAACCCCCAAGTCTCCCTCAGACCCCACCATGTCTGGAAAAACCCAGGTGGATAAAGTTTGCAGTCTGCGGTCTGAGCTGACTGCAGTAACTCGCATTCAAGCCACCATGAAGGATAATAGAAAAACTACTTGGAATAGCTAAGGACACACTCAAAGTGAGAAGGTGTGAAGGCCTAACAGGGATGAAGATCTCTACACAGACTCTGCCCCACCCTTTCATCACAATATTCAAACAGTAGACCTCAAGAAAACTAGAATGTCCCCAGGAATTTCATGCAGGAAGGAGAGAGAGGCTAAATTCCTGGACAAGAAATTTACAGTCTGTCAGGTGACCTGACAGAGGAGACAATGATTCAATGGCAAAGAGGACTACTTGTTAACCTTGGCTGCTCAGATATGCATAACTTTACCCTCTAATTAAACCTTGACCTCATAACAGGGCCCTGAAAATGGACTTAGCAGTGAGGGAAGGGGGAATGTCACTGGATCTTTGTTCCTCTTCCCAGTGTGTCCACACTGGATAAATCTCCATTTTTGCTTTCACTATTGGAAATATATGGACACTCTAGAAATCATATATGTAATTTCAGCAAATAAACCTGTGATTTGACTTTGAAAGCACTATATAAATCATGAAATAGAATGAGTTCTTACTTGTTGATGGAGTGCTAGAAGACGGTCCAGGAACAGAGACAGGGATGTTCTTGGGCAGGCTCTGTATTGGTGTCCGAGACTCTCTGCCTAAAATAAACTCTGGTTTAAGTTGTGTAATTTCGTCTGGCTCCTGTAAAGTCAGCACTATTTCCCAAATACTCTTACTTTATATATTCCAAGTTCCAGTCTCGACTATTGAGGATCAACTCAAAAAACTGACATGCAAGATTAAGCTTTCCTTCCAGCAGCTCTGAGTCTCTTACTGTTGCCTCCCTTTTTATGGACTCCTAACGCCTATATCATATTAGTCAGCCAATTTTCAAAAATAAAATTTTCTTTAATGCAAAAAAGTAATTTTCCTTACCAAATTAAAGCTCCACACAGTATTTTGGGATACAAAGATAAAAAGTTATGATAGCATTGTTGGCCCAAAGGTCAAAAGAATGGAATCTACCTCTGGGTAGAACCTGGGTCTGTTCCCTTAAGAGTTAATCCAGTTGGGCGGGTCAAAAACCTGGCTAAGGGACCATCATGCTTCAGGAAGGTGGATTTGCCTTGATAATAATGGAATAATGATCTCTTTAATGACTTAACTTTCCTTCCCAGAACTCCTGGCTTCCTTGTAGCTCCTTACAGAGAGCTGCAGGCATAGCTTCACAGGTCTGCTTTGCTCAGCATGCTTCCCTAATGCTTTGGGCTTTGCTCTCTCCAAAACTCCCCTCCCCACCATATACCTTCCCCTCTGCCATTCCAGCTTAACTCTTTCTCTTCTCCATTCCCCTCCTCCAGGCAGCTATAGATGAACAACTCACCTACTCCCAGGTTGTTCTTGAGTTTCCTTTGCCATGTATTCTTAAACTACTGTATTAACAAGACTCAAGAAGGGACTTGGCTTTCCCCAGTCACCCAACATTAATCCTGTAATGGAGTGGGAAGACACAACCACTTACGTTTCTTCTCAAAGTTTTTATCACTGGGGGACCTCCCATCGCTCTGATGTTTCTCCTTCTCTAGCTGTTCCTGTTGGGATATAGGGTTGTGTTACAGGTGCAGCTTGAGAGCTTCTTCTAGGGAAAATGACTTGTCTTTAGAGATAGAAATATACCTCACAAAAAAATGCCTTTTAAAAATGGGACTTCCCAACTGAGACGAACTTGTGGAATTCAGGTGGAGAGAGGAAGGAGTGATGAGCAAAGGAATCAAGACCATGCTGCAGAAACCCACAGAAACTGCTGACCTGAACAAGTGGAAACTCATGGACACCAGCCTGACAGCTGGGAAACCAGCATAGACCGAACCAGGCCCCCTGAATGCAGGTGTCAGAAAGCCCAAGTCTAAGGGGCCTCTGGCAGTGGAACCAGTATTTATCCCTACCTAGTACACAAATGGGCTTTGGGAGCCCATTCCCTATGGAGGGATACTCTCTCAGCCTAGATACATAGTAGAGGGCCTAGGTCCTGCTTCCTGCCCCAAATAATGTGTCAGACTTTGATGACCCCACATGGGAGGCCTCACACTCCATGGGAAGTGAATGGGTATAGATATGAATATTTGTTTTGGAATGGATTTTCATTTATTGATACAATTTAAGGTCAATTTTGTTATGTGTATATTTCTCCTCTTGTTTTTTAGGTATTGTATTTAATTTAGTACAGATTTTAGATAGTTACCTACAATAGTCAAAACTTATAGTTAGGTGAGTTAGGTTTTCTAGATATGTAGAGATGTATTTGAGATAATAGGCATTCTTCAAACCTTTCAAAGACCTACAGAATATGGCATTTAAAATGGTTTAGGGTTTTTCTTGACAGTGAGACATAAATGCTTCTGGCAATACCACCTGCACCAGAAAGGAAGATGGAAGATGGACATCGAAGAAACTTGTTATGGAGTTTACTTCCAATATGGCAAGACTAGCCATTTGGACAAGATACTACTCTTGTCTGGACTGTTTGACTTTATGCTGTATAAACTGGACATGCAGGACCCACATAAAAGTGACTGCTGATTCAAGACAGACATTGCTACACAGAGTTCCTGCTTCATGGAAGAGTCTGCCAGACAGTCTACAGGACACAGAGAAAAGTGACTGACAAACTGTCAATACAAGAAGACAGTTTAAAGTTTCCTGCTTTGCTGAAGAGTCTGCTAGACACACTATGACCTATGGGCTGAAGATGGAACATTACAGAAGAACTTCAGGTGACTGACAAGGCAAGATGTCTCTGTCATTTCTAGAGTTTATATATTATCCTTCTGTGGTCTTTGAAGGAGTTGAAGACAGATAGTTATGGTTATAGTTTTCCTTAGTTAGGATTAAAGATAAGTTACATAGACTTTAGACACACAAAGATAGGATAGATGATGGAATATTTTCTTAAATCTTGCTAAATGTTAGTGGACTAAATATTGTTAACTGTGATTCTTATTTGATAACTGTTGCGTTATATATTTGCTATGTTAAAGTTAAAACCCTTCTTTTTATTTAGACAGAAAAGAGGAGATGATGGGAGATGTCATTATGTATATATGTTTCTCATACTGGTTAATGAATAAAGCACTGTTGGCCAATAGGAAAGGAAGGTAGGAGGGACTAGGAGAGAAGGAGGAAAGAGGAAGGAGGAAGGAGGAGTCAGCATGGAAAGTCTGGAGAAAGCAGAATGCCGGCCGGCTCCCCGGTAAGAGAAGACCACGTGAAAATACATAGATCAGCAGAAATGGGTTAATACTTAAGACAGAGCTAGCCAATAAGAAACAAGTACCTGGCCAACAGCATAATATCAAATACAGAGTCTCTGTGCATTATTTGGGGCTGGTGCGGCAGCTGGACAAGACCAGGTGGTGGGCGGAAAAACCTTACGCCTTACAGATGGGGGTGGGATGGGCAGATCAGTGGGGGACATGGGAAGATGGGAGGGAGAGGGAACTAGGATTGGTATATAAAATAAGATTATATTAATTTAAATAAAAATTCATTTTTAAAAAATGGGGCTTCCCTTTGGCACAGAATTCAGAGGTTTGTTGCTGCTGTTGCTGTTGTTTTAATCTGTGGTATTTCATATCATAGAATATTGCTCTTGGGAATTTGTCCAAATAAAACAATGACTTTGGCATCACTCTACAATGTGCATTTATTTCCTACAAGGTGTTCACTGGTTCTCACCGACAGAGCATGTGTTTAACCATGGTTATTTCAATTCCTATTTGGCAATCAACAAAATATCTTTCTTTAAAAAAAAAAAAAACTTGGAGGCCTTCGATGGACGGAGGTGGGGCACCTTTAATCCCAGCACTCAGGAGACAGAGGCATGTGGGTCTCTAAATTCAAAGCAGCCTGCTCTACAGAGACAAGGACAGCTAGGGCTACACAGAGAAACCCTGTCTCAAAAAAAAAAAAAAAAAAAAAAAAAGACTGAGAGTGAAGGGAAAAGTCTACCAAACATGTTTAAAATATCTTATTGAAGCATGGTATACAGAAAAAAAAAACTTAAGACTATGAACTAACAACCTCAGAAAAGCAGCATTTCCACCCTGAAGATTCTGCAAGGCTGACTGACCATCAGCTTGTGATTATGGAGAGAGTGGAATACTGCTGACAGAATCAAACTAACCTGGGCTAGCTTTAGTCCTTAAACTGGCATCCACTGCCCACTGCTGCATTTGCTGTAACATCTTTTAACTAGCAGGCAAAACCTTTGAAATGTATTTTTAGGGGGCCAGAGAGATGGCTCAGTGGCTAAGAACAAGCCCTGCTCTTGCAGAGGACCCACGCTGGGTGACCCACACCAGCCTGCAACAAGTTCCAGAGGATCTGCCTCTGGCCTCTGTGGACATCTGCACTCACATACACAACACACAACTAAAAATAGAAGAGACTCACACATTAGGGACACTAGCGTTCACCAATCTAAAAGCTACCAATGTCAGGCAGCAGCTGACAGCTGCAGGAGAGCTGTTCCCACTCCTCAGTGATGTGCATACCTGCCTGCTGCCTGCTGCCTGCCTGCCTGCTGCCTGCCTGCCTGCAGATGAGCAAAAGACAATGCTGTGTATGCATAAAAATATCATTATGAAAACAATTGTCTTATGTTAACTAAAAAGTTAATGAAAATTCCAAGTTCTGTTTATCTGGATGCTTGTTCTGATACTTTTTTTATTTCTACTCTGTTGATGCTGAAGAGGGGATCCTGGGCCTTGCACACAATCTAACACTAAGCTATACCTGCAGCCCCTAGATTAGCCCCAGTTAGCACAACACTAACTAAATGCCAATACACTTAATTGACAAACTGGGTTTCAACCTTTTGTCAAAATGCAGAGGTCCTACACTGGCCAAAGCATAAAATAAATAAATCAACTTTTTAAAAAGTTTAAAGACACACCCTACCTGACTTTAAAAATACTTACAGTTAAATAGTCTGAAAGCAAGTTGGTGTCGCCAAAAGACAGACCCCCCCCCAAATCAGTGAAGCAGAAGGAGTCAAGAAACACAGATGACTGACACTTGTGAGAGGGGTAAGGCAATTCAGTGGGGGAGGACAAGATTCTGATAAGTGGGGCCAAAACAGATAATAATAAAAATATACAAAAATTAAATTAAAATTGGGCAAAGACTAAGTGTAAAATTCAAAACTAAAATTTGTAGAAGCATGGGGCAAAATGTGAAGTCAAACAAAGGATTCTTAAGAAAACAAAAATCATAAAAGAAAGGCTTAATAAGTTGGACTTTATAGAGCTGGAGAAATGCAGCCTTTGCAGAGGACCTGAGTCTGTTCCCAGCATCCTCAGTGGGTGGCTCATAACCACCTACAATTCCAGCTCCAGGGGGCCTGATACCCTATTCTAGCCCCCAGGGGAAATCACACTGATGTGCATACACCACACACACACACACACACACACACACACAGTTAAAAACAATCTTTTTAAAAAACAAAATTAACATCAAAATTAAAACTTTCTAAAGACTGTTAAATGCACTAAGCGAAGACAGAGTTCAAGAAAATACTCACAATATGAGCATGTGACAAAGGAGCTATTAATAACAATGTGGACAGCCTACTTTCAATTCTCCAAATGGACTTTACAAAAAACAAGACAGTATGGCCAGTAAACAAACAAAAGGCTGCTTAGTGTCTTTGACACAGGCATGTTTAAAGCCACATAGTTTGAGAAAACATGATCATACTCTTGCTAGAAACTACTCAATGGATGCTGAGGATGGATGGCCAGGGGCAGGTGAGAATATATCATCTAGGACTGAGTACATGTGGTTAAATACATACTGATTTCACTTAAAAAAAAAAAAAAACTCATTTTCTTAACACTCTCCACTGTAGCTTTTCTTCCAATTTACAAAAGATAAAACTTCAGAAAATCAAGACTTTTCTTGAGTCTTTTAGGAAATATGGAACAAGGTAAAAGTGAAATAAATTAGCTTTAGGTTTACTGTCAAAGCCCAGCTAAAGCTAATCAGAAAGGGGTATGTGGGGGCGGGGATAACATACCATTTCCAAAAACAGCAGCTCTTCTCTTTCTTTCTCTTGATCCAACAAATCTTTCTCATAATTTTTTTTCTGAAACTGTTTAAAATTTAAAATGGCAATGTCAATCATTAGTCACAACTTCTTGCTGACTGTAAATACCTCTTTTACTATAAGGCAGAGTAGAGTGTACTTACCACATCCATAGACATTTCCATTCTGTCCAACTCTAATACTGTCTACAAGGAAAGTTTTTAGAAATTAGTTGATTCACCAGTAATGAAACACAATCACCCAAGTATTTCTCAAAGAAACTCCTTCCCCAGGGGTATCCAAAGAGAACAGTTTACACTATGATATTAAGCTAATCTTTCACCACCAATTAACATTCAAAAACTGTGTTCCAAAGTCACACCCATTCATAATCTTTTTATTGATCTTATAAGTGTCAGTTGCATATTAAGTCAGTTTTTGAAAGCTGAAACATTTTAAGGTTTGACCTCACTAATCCAAATTTTTTACTATCTTAGTTTCCCAACATTTCCAAACAATCCACATAACAGATCCTTATACTAGAGCAAAATCATATGGCATAAAGTTAGAGTGTTTGGGAAAAGATGTGCTTGGGTGATGGTAGATCCCCACGATGCTGACCCCACCACTTACAAACATGTTCTCAAGCAGCCAGTGTCTCTAGCTCTAGCTCCTTTAAAAAGTCAAACAGACCACTGAATTCATTCTGAGGGGGTCTTCCCACACTCTTCTAGAAAACATGACTTCTGGAATTTTACTGCCATGGGAACACTTACAAGTAAAATCTAGTGAATGAGGAATTGGTCATCATTTGAGCGAGGCTCACAAACACCTCGAAGATGCTCAGCTTTCCTACAAGGAGCTCATACCGCTAGTAACAAAAATGATTACCCCTCAGAAATGCCCTTCAAAGGACCTGGGATACCCAGCAGTAGCTAAGACACCTGCCATTTATTAATTCTTACCACACGTGCAGATTGTTATCCTGTCAAGCTAAGAAGGGAAGCTAAAGTTAACACTGCCATACCGCAAGACACAGGTTTCCTAAGCAGGAGGGACACTTACCTTTTTCACAATAGCCAGGACATCTTTGTCTTTTTCTTGACACAGGAGTTTTCTCACACACATCTCTAACTGCTGAAGGAGATGCATGTCTGCAGGGATCTTCAGAGCTGATTTCACTTTGGGCAGCATGTAGCAAAGTTTCATTCTGTATTTAGAGTGAGCTTAATAATAACTAACAGTAACAGGAATGTGACACTGAAAAAGTTCAAGCTTTAGAAAACCCCAGAATTCAACTGTCTGTACAGCAAATATGTGTGCAGTGGCTACTATTTTTAAGACATTCACTATTCTGGGTACCAAGACACAAAATTGAATCAAACCAACAAAATCCTCTTCAGTGCCTTGCATTCTAGTTTGGAGCATGGAAAACAGAATGCATATAAAGAAAATGTCTGCCAGAAAGTGATGAGTCAGTCTAGAGAAGTTAGTAATGTTTTCACTGAAAATAAGGAATTTAAGGAAAGACCTAGAAAATCAGGGAGCAAGCCAGTCAAGTGTCTGGAAAAGCATTGTGGCCAATAGGGAAGACTTGCCTAGTGATAGTCTGACTCAGCAAACTAGTTTTGAGGCATAACATAGCAAAGATGAGCTACGTAGGAGACCTGAGTGGTGACAAGGGGCCAGCTCATGTTGTCAGTCGCTGTTGAGAGCCTGGCCTCTAATGCAATGGGAAGCACTGGAGGGTGTGAGCAGAGGCGTAAAGTGATTTAATTAACTTTCCTAATCATCATCTGTGTTTTGGGACTAGACGGTAAGTGGTTAAGGAGGGGAGGAAGCAATGGAAACAGCTTGTGGTACTTTGGGCCAGAAGGAGCAGCAGAGGTGCCCAGAGAAGCCTGCTCTCTGCATGCCTTTTGTGAGCAGCAGAGTGGCCTCGGGAATGCAGATGGGATGATAGAGAAAAGGGGGTTTAGGTTTAGGCCTGAGCAGTGGAAAGATGAGCCAGTTGCCTAGTGAGATGCAGAACCCTGCAGAAGGAAGAGATGTAGACAACACAGATCCAATGAATGCCGACAGATTGAGTCTGGGATGCCCATTAGATATTCTATGGGAATTATAAAACTGCAGCTACCTCTGAAAGCCTGGTGTTCATGTGGATGTCCTTGCAAGCGATGAGTCAGGAATGCATGAAAATGATAGTTTAGGCATGGGAATGGAGAGGGCGCATGTGAGAGAAAAATAGAAATGGGAAACATGCTAAGGCACTACCTCTGTCTAGATCAGCTGAGAAAAGAAGCAACAAGGAGGCTATGGAGATCTAAGAGACCGAAGAAAGCCTTCCCAGAAGGTTGCCAATGAGATGTTCTGCTTTGTTAAGCTCCAACTCTCCCTCTATTCAAGCTAGGTCTGGGGAGAGATACTAGGCCGTTGTCTATCTTAAAGCTGCTGGATTCATTCATTCATCATGTGTTCTCCATGTTAATGCTCTGTATTTCTTTGGCAAATCTTGAGGCAGCTAAGTCTCATTTATTACAGGGATTTCCAGGATGAAGTCTCGGCAGATGTTTAGCCAAGAGCTTCTTTTACACAGTAGCCATCGCTTCTGTGCATCTGAAAGGTGAAAACGCCTCTCTGGGATTCTCAACACTGTGCACCAATGGTCTGCATCTCGATCATTGCTCAGCACAGATACTGGGGACACTGTAACTAAGAACCCTCAAATCCCCTTTGGAGAAATTACTTCAACTCTGGCCACTGAGGAGAAGGCTCCTCTGAATACCAATAGGATTTTCCCAGCCTTGATGGTGTCTAAACTCTGTAAATCAAATGTTAAAACATTCATGTAGAAGAACACACAAAACATAATTCACTCTTTATTACCCAAAGTATATCTAGAAGACATTTTGATTCATGAACCCAAAAGATTATAAAGTTCTCGAAAATAAGGACTACAGCTTTTAGTAAAAAATACTTTTTAAGGATCTTATCATATTAATAATAATTACTCAGCCAGTCTGTCAGGCTGGCTTTGACTTGTGCTGGCTCAACTCAGTAAGACAAAAGATCTGAGATGTCAATTGAGAGACTGACATTTTTATCCCAAGACTATTACTAATCGGACTATGAAGCCAACTGAGATGTCTAGCAACAGACACTGCTAAAGAAAAGGTGAACATGGTTCTCACAAAGAGTGGGACAGCGCGACAACACAAATGGAGCAGGACGGGGTCACACACAGTGAGATAAGCTGCCACAAAGAGATGGGCGCTCTATGTTCCTCCTTAGAAGAGGAAGCTGGAAAGCTGAACAGCAGAATGGTGGTCATGAGTAAGTAGAAGGGTGGAAGGAAGGAAGGTTGGAAGGAGGTAGGCAAAGGGTGCCAAAATTCAGTTAATATACAAGGAATATCTTGTAGCCTGTGCAATAGGTAAGTACAGTTCACAGCAACTCATTATATATTTTATAAATAACTAGAAGACCAGTCTGGAGGCTCTGGGTACATAGAAATGACAAATATTTAAGGAAATGAAAATGCTAACTATACTGGTTTTATTGCTACATCTAATATTCATATATTAAATTATCATGCTGTATCCCATAAATGTGTGATCATTAAGTCAACATTCAAAAACAACTACTAAGACTCTAAAAGCAAGCATCAATTTCTCACTTAACCAAGAAAAAGGAGTTTGCAAACATTTACAACAAAGGACATATGAGAAATGCAACATTTTCCAAACCTTGCAGAGCAATACGTACCTCACATTTGCTACTGGGTCATGGGTTAGTTCAATAACAGGTAGAAAGAAATATTTGCAGAAAAATGATTTGGAAAATATCTCTATGATAAATTCACAGGTATCCAAAAACCGAAGTCTATTCCAATAACTCTTTCCTTGGCCCAACTCTACAAACAACAAAAATACCATAATGTAGTGATATATTGTTTATGATCTAATAAAGCCACTGAAGATCAAAATGCAAAGCTGGCCACAACAATAGAAGCTGGGAAGTGGTGGCACACTCCTTTAATACCAGGACTCAGGAGACAGAGGAAGATGGCTCTCTGTGAGTTCAAGGCCATCCAGGGCTACATGAGAGTGAATCATTCTAAAAGAGAAACAGAGCTCATGCCCTTAATACCTTCCATCCCTTGAGAGGTATATAAGATAGGAGCAGCATCTCATATTCTCCATCCTCACTGAGGACAGGAAGGCAATTAGTCTCCAGCCTGGGAAATTAGTCTCCAGCCACATTGAGGACTGGTTCCCTACCCCAGCCTTGGTAGAAGTGAGAGCTCTCGGGTGGCTTGGTTGCTTTGTTTTTCTGACCTTCAGCCTAAAACCTGATATATGTCTCTGGGTTTTATTATCCATGTTATGCCATAACCCAATTTTCCCTACATGAAATTATATATTACAAACCTAAACACCAAAAAGTTATGCAAAGTTTCACTCTACCTGCAATTTACTTAAGAAATACAAGAGAAAAATAGTCATTACATACTCTAGGTTTGTAGACTATAATATTTACACATCAAAAATTAGGAAAGGGTTTTATTAACACAATAAACTTGAGTAAGCACTGGTGGATTATGAAGACTGGATGACTAGAGAGAGTTACTATGTTTGACCATTGCCTATAGGCTGAGTTACCCTGTAGACAGTATTTATTGAAACCTGGAAAGCCATCTGAGTGGATGCACACATTTAAACCAACTCAAAGGCAGTCTTCAAACCCTCTAAGTCTTTTCAAACTAAATTAATTATTTGTTGTTGTTGTTGTTGTTTCCTTAAAAGTGTCTGATGTAGATAAAGTCATATGTAAACACAATTACTGAAAGAAAGTACTTTAGGTCATATTTAAAGTATAATCTAATTTTTACATAAATGTGCAAAGGTAAAGTTCTTAATACTTAAAACCAAATAGAAGCTTTTAAAATCAGACTTATTTTAAATTTAAGTTCCTACAACTGCTAAATGAAAACAGACTGAGCATAATTATTCTTACATAGAATTTTACAAAAGTACGTTTTTTCTCCTGAAAAGTGGTGGTTCATGATTAGTATGGTGAATCTAATAGTCAGGAAATCCTCTTCCTTGTCTGTGTTAGATAACAGTTTCACTAAAAATATTTAAGCATAATTATAGTCAAAGCAAGTGTTTGATGACTAATAAACCCACTAAAAATATATGTACGTATTTGCCACTAAAATTAATGATTTTGCCATGATTTTTAGCCCTTAACAAATTACAATAAATTTGTATGTGTTAATCTAGTTTCTAAATACAGTCAAATAACCACAGCTCACTAAATTCACACTAATATTTGCCATCAACAGCATTCAAGAAAGAATTGTAAGCTCACATTTTGTTCATTCAATTAATAATAAAAACAGCATTATAAAATAAATTACTATATTTAAAAAATGTTCTGTTCGTGCTTTAGTCCCAAATGTTATTTCATTAAGGTAGAAATTAGCCTTTCAACATAATTTATGTATTTAAATTTCTCAAGTGCAGTGAATTCACAAAAGAAAGATCTGAATAAATACTATTTTCCTCTATGAAAATTTTGATTGTGACATAAAGATTTCCAAAATAAACATAAATTAACCTACCTACAGAATTCAACAAAAAGCACACCCCAAATATTTACCACAAGCAGCCTATTTATCTTAAAAAAATGATATAAAATACATTGTAGATTTAATTAAGGTCAACTACTTCAGTAACTTTTTTCCAAAATTACTACTTACGTTCAATTAATTTTTGAATGACTTCGTGCCTCTGCTCTTGTTTACGATTATAGCGTAGAAAAATGCATAGAGTTCGTGCAGCTGCTCTTTGGACGGGTAAGACATTCTTAAAGAAACAGAATAGGAGAGACAATTTCACTAAGCTATGTTCTCAAAAATTAGTCCCCACCAAATCAATTAGTTATTGGCTAAATGTGTTTGCCACTTTTCAAACCCTGAGTTCACACCCTTCTGGAGAGATCTCTGTTACCTATGTTAATGTCACTCAGGAAAATAAGTCCTATCCCAAGCTAATTCAGTTTTAGTCATATCCGAATCATCCATGTTTAACTACCATTTCCTGCCACCTCATCTTAAATGACACATTCCTCAGCCACCCATTCTTTTGGGTAGCAGAATATTAACTATTTATATTCAACAAATATATTTAGGGAAATACCACGTGCCATCACCAAAACTGTGCCACTTCTAAAGCAGAAATTTAAAGATCCCATGTTCAGGTACATTGTTGAAGAATTTGAAGGTTGGTATCATATCTAAGGCTGGAGACTAAATATCTCTTCAGGGCTGAGAAATCTCAATTTCCTATTCCTATTTGTCAGTATGGAGGTAAAGGTTCCAGAACTCTACAAAAGGTATTAACATTGGAGAGTGTCACCAAAAAGAGCAATGTTACCAGCTGATGGGTAACATTACCAGTATTCCAAAGTCTCTGTCCTTCAGATTCCCAATACACCACTATATGGAACCTCGATTCTGAATGAATTCAACCAGTTACCTGGAAAAGTCTCTGAACCAGGTATACTGTGTCAATCATAAATTCATGTTTACCATCCCGATCTACTTGTCAATATTACAATATTCCACCCAGGTTGCTACAGTGGGAATCTCTGACATGCAGTGGACTAAAGTTGTATGGACACAGTGGTGCTGGCTGTGCCTTCTTCCACCTACACAAGTGTCCTTTCTACTAAGCACTATGCTATGTGACAGACACTGTTACTGTTGGATACAAAGGGACAGTGTCTACCATGAAAATTTAATAACTGTGTATAAGCAGAAATACAATAGAGTTTAAATAAATTTAATACAGGTTTAATATGATAAAATTCATGTGGTTTAATATGATAAAATTTCAAATGCATATATACAAGATATATGAAAATATGCTCAGTTTATACCTCATATAATATGTCTTATAATGCAAGGCAAGTATTCATTTGGGGCAGAAATCAATGTTAAGGGCCTCAGAACAGCTTCCATGAGTTTTCCTCTGATTTTTACACATGTGTTGTGTTACCTGTGTGCCCTCATACATGCAGACATGCACATATAGTAAACAAATAAATGCAAAAAGTGAACACACAGTTATTCTTGCCAAATCACTTTTTAAGATTATTATATCTACAGCACAACCTTAAATTCCTCAGACTTCCATTGTTATGTGTGATGAACTTGTTGAGTGGTGAGTAATATACCATGTGTCTTTTTAAGTTGAAAACAACACCAATAATATTATTCTCCTTTCCAAATCTTTGAAACTGAACCTGATTTTGAATTTTGGAGATGACTCTTAAATTCCTCATTTCCATTTTATGAAATGAAAAGTTAAGATATTTCAGTTCAGATTATAAAGTGGAAACATATATAAAGTTTTTGTTTGTTTTTGACCTGTGATGGGAGATGCGATTCTATAAATATGTTTTTCAACTGGTTAATGAATAAAGCACTGTTGGCCAATAGGAAAGCAAGATAGGTGGGACTAGGAGACAAAGAGGAAAGAGGAAGTAGTAAGAAGGAGTCAAGATGGAGAGTCTGGAGAGAACAGAACAGCCATTCCTCCACTCTCAGTAAGACCATGTGGAAATACATAGAAATGGGTTAATACTTAAGACAGAGCTAGCCAATAAGAAACAAGTAACTGGCCAACAGCATAATATCAAATACAGAGTCTCTGTGTGTTAATTGGAGCTGGTGCGGTGGCGGGACAAGACCAGGTGGCGGGAGGAAAAACCTTACTCCTTACAGACCTGCTACAAGAAATTGAACCTATGAGCTTATGTGTGCTATTCAGATACATCTCCAGTAGTTGTAGCTTTTAAAGTTAAAAAAAAAGTTTCTAAACTTTTATTAGGATGACATCGTGCATGCACAGTGGACTGCAGGCTAAACAGTCTTTTCTGGAAGTGTTTTGAAAGGTGGATAACTTCATAAGGTTTGCATATAGTTGTTTGCAGAGCAAATTGTAACTTCTTTTCCTTGAATAGGCTATCTACACTAATGCATCCAAACTTGCAGTGTGACTGTCCTTAGGCCCTATAAAAGACACAGTATCCACACGATCAGGGACTGCTGGGAGTCTTGGGAGTAAAGGCCTGGCAGGTGTGAGATGCTGGCAGTGTGAATACACTCAGAAGGAAGAGCAAAGCAGAGGTTCTTTTGCAGTTGACAATACTGAGTCCTGTCAACCTTTTTTCTCCAGAAGTACTGGAACAAGTCTGAGGTAAAGGGCAGGAGATAGGTACTCAATAGGTTGAGTACCTGCCTAGCAGGCATGAAGCCCTGAGTTCAATCCCCAACACCACATAAACTAAGTATAGTGCCACACACCTCTAATGCCAGCATTGGGGACATAGAGACAGGAAGATCAATGTCCTTCAGCTATGTAATAAATTTGAGGATAGACTGGGCTCCCTGTGCACTGCTTCTGAGAACAACATGAAAGTGTGAAGTAAATCCATCCATACTCCTCTGGCAGTGGATGAAACGTATGTGTAAGATGAGTCCTGTTCACACCTCCCTACAGCTAATGGTGGAAGAGCAAAGGGAAAATCAGAGAAGCAGGAGTCTTGACTCTCCTCCTCAGAGACCCATGGAGACACTGCTCTTCCAAACCGATAGGAACAGAGGTCCGTGTATTGTGAAAAGGTGAAGAATTTGGTAATGCCAAAATTATGCCAAGTTTAAAACAATCAGGTGAAATTCAGGGCTCACATTTGTCATCATGATGGCGAACATTCTTTGCAAGAAGCGGTAATAAATCTGGTCGCTTGATATGATGTGAGGCAGACAGGCATACTTCTGCAGCAGCTTCTCATGGGTCCTCCACTTCAGAGAGGCTGCAGCTCGCTGCTCAGCAGCTGTGAGTGCGGGAATCAAGTCAGGCAGAGAAGACAACTGCAAATAAGTACAAGGATGGTGGTGACTAAATCCATCAACTGCAGCCTGTAATGAAAACACACAGCAGGGAAGGACTTCAGGGTTTGGAAGCCATCTCAGATGTCACTGGGAGACAGTTATCAGACAGAACCAAAGATATGTGTGTGTGTGTGTGCGTGCGTGTGTGTGTGTGTGTGTGTGTGTGTGTGTGTGTGTGTGTGTGTGTATGTATGAGTAAAATGAAATCACTAAAGCCTGGACTTGTTATTCTTCTTTGTATGTAAGGCAACTATTCTTACATATCTTACATATCACTGTGGGCAACTTGACCTTCTAAATTCCTACCCTGTGTCTCACTAATTATACTTATAATAATAATTAATACTGAAAATATGAATACGAATTCCAAGGACAATAATAAGAATTGTGAGAGACGGAGCCACTACATATAGTGGCTGCAGAGGGCATCTCATGCCGGCAGCTCTCATAGGCATAGGGTTAGCTAAGAGCAGATGCTATTTTATTTAGTTGTGTGTATATTGTTTATAGAGACAGAGAGTTTAATGATTAGAAATCCAGTATTTGAAAAAGGCCTTCCCTTAGAAGTTTTTAAATACTCTACACACTTCATCACGTCACCCACACTGCAGAGGCACAGGAAATAGCCTGCGGGGAAAGGAGTTGGGAACTTGGAAGATTTTGCCCCTGCAGCACTTCACCATCTGGGAAAATAAAGGTGTGTGGAGCCTGTGGCTTTTTGACCTTCGAATTCCTTAATAACAGGACAAAAATTGAGAGCTTAAGATGTTTCAAATTAATTGTCAGTACAGTAATGCTTCCAAAACTGCCTCAGAGCTAGGAATGTAACCTGCCCTTCCTGTCTATAGCTATAGCGTAAGGCTGACATGGACTTGTTTATATACATTTATTTGTATCTTTTAAGTATGTGCATTGTGGGGTGGTAGGGGGTGGAGCTCGTAAAGGCAGAGCCAAAGGAGGCTGTAAGAAGGCATTAGATTCCTTTGGAGACAGGCATTACCTGTGATCATGAGGTACCCAGTAAGGGTGCCCGCGTGGAAGCCAGGCCCTTTACAAGAGCAGTAGAGCTCTTAGCTGCTGAGCCGTCTCTCTAGCCTTGCTGTGTAAGTGTTAATGCCAGCTAGGGATGCACTGACAAATGCACAGAGGGTTGGACACTGAGCAGCATGGGGCCGAGCACTGCTCCAATGCTCCTCACACACTCCTTCACTGTTCCGCACAACCGCCCTGCACAAGATGACAGACTTGTAACTGTCCTGAAAGACAAGATTTACCTTATTTTCATGAGCACTGCTTTCTCCACCAATAGACATGAGTTCCAAGATTTCTGGGAGGTGATTTATAAGAGCATCTAGTACCTTTTAAAGAAATATTGATAATTATCATCTGTCTTCTAAGTTAGTTAACCCCACACTTCAGTTTATATACAGAAATATTTTGACCAAACAACATTAGGGGTATTTCTGTTTAAAAAAAAAAAAATGTAGCATTCACTTGTCTAAACTGGAGAAAGCTAATATCCTCAAAACTGTCACATCAGGTGACAACCTCAAGTATCACATGATGAGCTAAGGTCCCCCAGGCTAATAGTTATTTTGGTAAATAGAATGTGCCACACATAGCATCAGATAGAAGAATATCTTCCATATCTTTCAATATCATCACCAGTCTATGTACAAGGTAAAACACTCTCACAAAACAATGCTGAACCAAAATCCAAAATGTGATGTCATTACAAGTGTGAACAAAACCTCTAGTAGAAAAATGTAACACTTACTAGAAAAAAGTAACAAAATATCAACAGTGATTCAATAAAAGTTTCTCTTTTGTCTATTTGTTGACATTTCCTAAGTTTCCTCAATAAACAATACACACTTCTGTTTTCAAACCAGATGTCTTGGAAGTCCTCATTTGTAAGATGCAGTGACTGATACAGTCTGGCTTAACATAAAACAAGAAATACCAGAGTGGAAACTTATATTACCTCCAATGATTCATCTTGTAATAATGTTATCAGTTCTTTGTGTATTAAATACACTCCAGAATTCAGAAGTTTAGAAACCTAAAATACAACAATAAAATTTCTCAGATTTGAGACTATATAATGTTAAAACACACATTTTTAAACTAGATTCTTGTTAAATATTCCTTCTAAAAAGTTACACCATAAATATATAATTAATTTCTGGTAAATTTAGTTGCATAGATCTGCTTCCTAATATGCTAGTATGTTCGGTCACGGGGCAAGAGAGGCACAGTGGCAAGGGAATGCACAAAGGATAAGATTACCAGCGCTGGAACTTCTGCCTGCACCAGCCCATAATAACCCACCGGCTCCACTAATCTACACTTTGAGTCCTAGAAATTCAAAGGGGTCTTAAAAATACCCGGGGCATTCATTCCCACTAAAGCTTCTCACAAGACAGAAACTGGACTGAAGGCCTTTCATGACAGTGGGGTGTAGTAACTCCCAACAAGGCAAACAGCCTTCCTCAACCCTGTCAGAGACTGTCCTCAATCTGAGAGCAACTGACAGAGTCTCAGCCAGTCTAGATCAATGCTTTTGGGTTTGTTCCTGTAATTAACTCATTGCCCATGAAGATGAGTTCACTCATTTGTACATTACCTCTTAAAGGGTGGGAAAGAACATAGTCTACACTGGAATAAGTCAGTTTTGTTTACAGGGTTTAGGAATGGGAAGATGCCTGAATAAAGACAGTGTTTTAAAAGCTTTGGGTTGTTTTTAAGTTGTTAGAAATATTTTCAAACAGGTGTTTTCTGAAAAATAAGAATAAAGTTACAATGTAGTAAGTATCAAATCTAGCATTAACACTGGATTAGAAAACTACACAGTGGGGAATTTTCATTGTTTAAAGCGCAAAATCAAATAAGCCCTTTGTTTCAAGGAACTGAACATTACTCTTAGCCTACACACATTAGATATGACTGTGAGAATATAAAAACCAGACATCCACAAAATACATAGCACAACCATCTCCAAAGTGACTCCTATTACAGAAATAGATGTGTGTGCATGTTGTTGTTTTGCCTGCTACAAAAATATAACAAAAAGCAAAGATTAAACAAAGGAGATAAGGGAAACTAACATTTGCGTAGATATTCTTAAACTTTACTCCCATGCAGTCTTGAGAAGAATGCATCGTGACCAACCTGAACAAAACACAACCTGCAGGATCCGCTACAAGTACATTCTGCCCTGTCCTCCTCCAAAAGTGAACTTTTGTGGGTCAGTTTACAGATAAGATACAGCTGTGTAACATTGGGATTACTTTAAATAACTGCACATTGCAGTGGAATACTTCTGGAGCTTATACTATGATCTCACCCATGTCAGAAAAGTGTAATTTTTACATTTTTATTTCATTGCCATTCATTTTTACATGTGTCTGGGAATGTGCATTGTGTGTGCATATTCACATATATGTGAGCACATGAAATTGATATTGGGTATCTTTCTTGACCACTCTCCACTTGATAAATCAAAGCCCTCTCACTTAAACCTAGGGCTCCAGATTCAGCTAGTTTAGCTAGTTAGCTTGCTTTGGAGATGCCCTGTCCCTGCCTCCTGAGGGTGTGGATTACAGGCAGGCTGCTATGCCCCCTAGATTTACATGGGATCTGAATTAATCCTCACACTCAGGCAAGCACTTTACTCACTGAGCCATCTCCTTGGCCCCAGAAAAGTGCTATTTTAAAGAAGCAAAGAATATGACTCAGCAGTCCAAAGCATCTTAAACATTTATAATGATGCTATGAATATCCTTCATTCTCTCAGCTAATCTAGTGGCTGACATGGGAAAACAAGCAAGGAAGATGATGAAATAGTCTTACTGGCAATAAGAATTTTTTTAAACTTTTTAATTTTTATTTATTTATTTATTTTTACTATACAATTTACAAGGAAAGATTTCATATCAATTATAAAGAGGCTGTCATGTGACTATTTTGAATTGACAAGATAATAGCTTATATATTGTGATGGTTAATACGGATTGTCAATGTGACGGGTTCTAGACTTACTCTAGCAAACTTCAGCATTTATCTTTGAGGGAATTTTTAGATTGGATTAGCTTAGGTGGGAAGATCCATGCTGTCTTAGTTATTAGCATCAGTTATCAACTTCCTCAACATAGAATCACCTGGGGAGAAGAACCTTACTGGAATTGCCTAGATTTAGACTGGCCTGCGGATATGTCTGTGGAGCACTGTCTTGATTGATAGTGGACATGGGAGGGCCCAGCCCAAACTGTGTAAGAAAGCTAGCCAAGAGAGAGCAAGTCTGTGAAGCAGCATTCCTCCATAGTTTCTGCTTTGAGCTTCTACTTGAGTCTTGCCCTGACTTCCCTCAATGATAGGTTATGATATGGAAATATAATCCAAATAAACCCTTCTCTCCCATGAGTTGCTTTTGGTCATGGTACTTATTAGAGCAACAGAGAAGCAAACTAGGACACACTCTAATTATGGGTAGCACCATCCCATGGCCTGGGATCCTGGACTAAATGAAAATGAGACAGGGAGCTGAGAAGAAGCATCCGTGGCTCTCTGCTTCTGACTGTGGACTAGAGTAGCAGCTGCTTTCTGCTCCTGCCACCATACCTTCCCTCCACGATGGAATGTGCCCCAGACCTGCAAACTGAAGTAAAACATTTCTTCTAAAGTTGCTTCTGTCATGTATTTTGTCACAGCAATAAGACAAGTAACTAACATATGCCTGGCAACTGTTATATACATGTGTTTTTCATTGTCATTTTCTGAGAAACAGGCCCCTAGTTTCAACTTCAAAGATGAAAAGTTAATTGTGTTCATCATAAAAGTTTGTTTTACTTTTGGACATAATTTATGGACAGTTGTATAGCTGAAGCTAAAAGCTATGCTCATAACATTTCATTTATGGTAAAAGCAATAAATGTAAATAATTTGTTACTTAGTTTTCCATTTACCCTAAAACTACTTAAACATAAGAGCAAACTACAAATATGATAAAGCACATAAAATTATAGCTATCATAATGTCTGCCTTAAAGTAAGTATTAAGTTTAAGTATTCAGAAAAATAGGTTAATGAGTAAATGAATATAATGTATTATGTAAATGGATTTTGTAAACATACTTAGAAAGAGAAGAGAATTATGGGAATTCAAAAATAAGATTTAAAACTATAACACAAAAGAGCTATGGAATATCTACCTCATAATAAATCTATAAATACAACATACAGAATATTAAAACAGCATCTAATACACAGACAGAATCAACATGTGTACCATCAAGTTCATTCTTAGACTTACTTCATAAAAGCAAATAGCAATAGTGTATCTGACTGGTACTTCAGGGTCATGACAAAGGCAGAAGAATGTAGAATAGAGTTCCATGTGGAAGTTTTTAGGATCAACAAAAACAATCATGGCCTAGTGGAGGTCGAAGGAGATGAATGGGAAGGAAAGAAAAACATGCATCAATACCTAATATATCATCTCACTGGAACTGAAATCATATCCTATTAAGCAAATTTAATAAAAATGTATATTTGTAAAACACAAATGCATGCACATATTTTTGATTATATACAGAAATATAAATTCCACAGATATTTGATTAACACTTCCTATACATTTAGATAAAGTGCTAAACAGCAGGTGTTGGACATGTAAATATTTTAATGCATTCTACTCAAACATTTTAAAGTCATAATCAACACATCCAGTAAATACAATCAAGTATTTTATTACCGGAAAGTTGTAAGCACAGTTCTTTCGTACTGAAGTATATTTCTTCTCCTGCTCTATGATTTGGGATGGAATCTGGTTTTCATTGTGGCCATTTTCTTGTTGCAAACCCAACGTACAAAGTTTCTTATAAAATTCCAAAAATCTCAAGTGCTGATCTGGAGTGAAAATTCCTAAAACATATGAAAAACCTGTGTTCAATATTTCAATTGCAAACAAAAAAACTTAAAAAAGAAACTCAAAGTACAATAAAAACATGTTTAGAACAAAATATTTAACCAAAATTGTTATAGATGGCTCGTAACAGCAATGAGCAAAAAACTCCTCTGAAGAAAGCTAATGGGTCATACACTTTTCATCTCATGCTCACTTTAATAATATTTTAATTTTAAAAATAAAAACTACAGAAAACAAGAACCATGTCTATATTAGTTACACAGCTTGAAAAACTAAGATATCATCATCAGGATTGTACTTATAATACTGCTGTTAATTTATGGTATATGTTTTAAAACCTCTACGGGGGGGGGGGGGGAAAAGCATGTGTATCTACAGAGAAGGAACCTAAGAACCTAGCCTGGAGGAGGTCAACAGCATGTTCATCAGCTCTCTTAGCACTAAGGATTTGTTGAATATTGTAAAACATTTTTCAATTACCAGATGTCTGCAATCCACATAAAGGATATATTACTATGCTAGATAAGAGACTAATTGTTACATGGTTACAGTAAGCTAAGAATATGCTCAAATAACTCAACTCTTGGGTGTTGGTCTACATTCTAAGCTGAACTATTTAAACGCTATATTTCTTATTTGAAACGTGATTTTTAATCATTATTTATTTAATATTTAATTATTCTTACTACACACCAGCAGGTACTACATACCTGACCTTCCTTCTATTAGCACAGTCCAACTTAAACATACAAAATGCCCAGAAATCCCAAGGGCTATGCTTATTTGACTCTTTCAGATAAGGTTCCATCCATGAAAATGTCATTTTTGAATTACATTACCCTAAGACTTCACACACGAGAATAAGTGCTACATGTAAAGAACTGAATGAAATGAGCATGAGCAAAACAGAATAACAACTAGTCTTACAAGCCCTATGTAACATACCATAGAGTCCGTGACATAGCTTTCCTAAATGAAAAGATAAAGAAATAAGGATTGATTCATCTGCTTTGAAAGATTTTTCACAGAAGGATTTCACTAAGGGAAGTATAGTTTGACTTCTGTCATCTGAAAGACAAAACAAAACAGGATATACTTTAGAGGCAGTTGCTCACATTACTGCATGGAAACTAATACACATATACCCTCCAGAAGAAAAATGTCTATGTTAGGCTAACAATGACAGAAATATCTGATAACGGTGACAGAAAGAGGGCTGGTGACAAGGGGTAAGATCACCAGAAACTAAGTTTGGGCTTCTAAGGTACCACCAAGGAATGAAGATAGGGTCATCACAATTAAAACAATAATGTAACTGATGATTTGAGTCTGAATAACCAGAAGAATTCTAACATACATTATATAAACAAGTGAACATAGTTAGGTTCCAACAAACTTTAGCAAAACACATAGGATTGAGTGAGCTTCTAAGTAACCCTCTAAGCTCTCATATAAGAAATTTGAAAAGATAAAAGAGAAGAAAATGTATTTGAACTGGACACTAAAAGAAGCCTAGAAGTCATATAGGACAAAAATAGAGGATAGGGGGAGAAAGACAACTAGAGGCAACATCAGGGAGAGGAAAGTGGACATGGAAGGCTAGAGATGTCGGAGCACCCGGGAGGAAATGAAGGAAAGTCTGCAAAAACAGAGCCCAGTGAAGCAAAGTGGGAAGATCCGTTCATGCCAGCATTTCCAGGCTGGATCCTAGGGCTGCCCTCAATATTAGAGGCAAAATATTCACCCAATTATGTGCAGTATTGCTCCTCCTGTATGTATCATATTACTTCAGTGATCATTCTGAAATATTTATACAAAATTATTGTCTATACCACAATAACCTTCAGAGGCCCTCCCAGTTCCAACAAAATGTTGATAGTCCTAGTGAACCCTCCTACAATTACATAACTGACTTTCATACCTCAGTCTTGACATTTAGCCCTCCAAGTGATACCTTGTCATGGTGGCTAATATCCATGGATAAACTACTTATCCAGAGTTAGGCACCAATCTAGGTCTATGTACACACTTGGTAGAGCAGCTAGCTTTTCTGTGGCTTGGTTTGCATAAGAACAGGAAATATCTTTCTTCACATCCCCACTGAATTACCTACACCAAACTTCTCCTCCCACAAGATTTCTGGCATTAAAATATCATTGAGAAAGAATTCATTTAGACATGTTATAAGCATGTTATGTCATTTAAACATGGTACAATCAGGACTTAACATCAGTTAGTTGGGGAAGTTAAGGGCTACTTCTCAAGACGAATTCTTCAACTTCTATATATGTCGGTTAAGTTTTGAAGAGAGAAATAAGAAGTATGAAACATAACAGCTGTTATAAGTAGGTTTTTCCCACCACCCTAGTCCCAGAACCGTGCCAGCCCCAAATAACACAGAGACACTGTATTAGATATAATTCTGTTGGCCAGTTACTAGTATTTCTTATTGGCTAGCTCTGTCTTAAATTTCTATTAATCTATTTCCATGTGGTCTTATCTTACTGGAGAGAGGGGCTGGTGTTCTGCTCTCTCTCTGTCTTCCATCTTGGATCTCCCCCCTACTACTTCCTTGTCTCTTAGTCCCGCCTATCTTGCTTTCCTATTGGCCAACAGTGCTTTATTCCTTAACCAATAAGAGAAACATATTTACAGAATGACATCTCTCATCATACAGCAGCACTAGATTCCAGGAAGGTAAGCGTAGAAGCATGGAAGGCATCAAGAGGAAAGAATCATAAAACTATAAACGTAACAAAAAATTTGAATCAGTCTTTGATCCTTATTAGTAATGTAAAAAATGGAAAAATAATTTTTCAGAAATAAAGATTTCTGCACATGCAGATTTACCTGTATCAAACATGTCAAGCATGTTAACCAAGGTTTCAAAAGCAGCAAGCCGCACACTGCCACTCTCATCCCTAGAGAGTTCTATTAATTCAGGGAGCACCACACTCTTTGTCAGTTCTGTCCTGCACAATAAGCAGTAGAAGAAAGTAAGTCAGACCAACAGCAAGAGTCCAGTGAAAACAAGTGATTAGCCCAGATGGTCCCAGTGTCCACACTAGTCCCCAAGCATGCCATCTGGTTGGGAAAGCAGCCATGGGTATAAGAAATACAGGTTAGTTATGGGAGAGTTGTGAGGGAATATAATTAAAATACATCTTGTGAAATTCTCAAAGAATTTAAAATATTTAAATAAATATTAATAATAATTTCATGATTACATCAATTCTAATTTTCCCTGTAAACTACTGTGAACTATAGATATTTTAATGACTGGGATATTATATTAAGCTTTATAAGTTATATCATTTCTATTTTAAAGAAATCTCAGGAAATGATCCAGCTAATTAAGAAAAAAATTATCATAAATATTTGTAGAAATTCAAGCAAAATGATTTGATCTAGATTTTGGGGCATATGTTATCTTTCTAATCATCTGAAATACAACATTATAATAGTTTCCACACAGAAGAATGATAGACAACACTGGATATTCAACATAAATGATTAAGGTATGAAAGATGCTTTTAGAGGATGGCATTTAAAAGATAGTCATAAGCTGTAAAAAGCCAGCACTTCATTCCTACTGATGACAGGGTTCAGACTCGGATAAAAGGGAGTCGTAACACATAGCCAGCTTTCTTAGATGCAATATGGAAGACAGCATGATGTTTTTTATGTTTTCCTTTTTTTCTTTGTATTATTATTGTTGTTTTTTTCTTATTTTACATATCCATCCCAGTTCCCTCTCTCTCCCTCCCATGTCCCCTGATCCCTCCTCCTGTCCCATTCCCCACCCACTCCACAGGGAGGGTGAGGCCTTCCAGGAGGGATCATGAAAATCTGTCAAATCATTTGGAGTAGGGTCTAGGCCCTCCCTCCCTCCATGGGGAATATGCTCCCAAATTCCTTTTGTGCACCAGGGATACATCCTGGTTCCATTGTCAGAGGTCCCTTCTAACTGAGACCCCTGTTCAGGGGTCTGAGTCAGTCCAATGCTGGATTCCCACCTATCACTCTGGGGTCTATGAGCTCCCCCTTGTTCAGGTCAGCTGTCTCTGTGGGTTTCTGTGGCCTGCTCTTGACCCCTTTGCTTATCATTCCTCCCTCTCTGCAAGACAGCATAAATTATACCTGATATATTTTATTGACATAGTTTTAAAAAATAGCAGAGGCAGGTGAATCTCTGTGAGTTCAAGGCCACTATGGTCTTGTTCCATGCCAGCCAGGCTGCACAGTGAGACCATCTCAAAAAACAAGGGGGGGGGGGAGGAAGGAAAGAAGAAAGAAGATAAAACATTAAAAACAGAGAGGGGCGGCACACACCTTTAATCCCAACCCTGGGGAGGCAGAGACAGGTGACTCTCTGAGTTTGGGGCCAGCCTGGTCTGCATAGTGAACTCCAGGCTAGCAAAGGCTACATAGTGAGACCCTGTCAAAATAAATCAATAAAGCAAACAAAAAAAGCCTTCAACAGAAGACTGTTCCTTCAGTTTCCTCACACGGGTCTTGAATGAAGCTTTCTCCTACGCTGTCTGTAATTACTGCATTTGCTATATGACAGACAGGGCGTCATCATGAACCTCAGCTGGACATGTGGACAGTTCCTCCCCCGCCACACCTCTAACAGCACACTGCTAAGCAATTCACCTTTCTCTTCTGAACTCGGAGGGTGCTTGTGTACAACTATTCACTAAGCATTTGAATTTTCTATCCTGTTTTAATTTTTAGAAGTTAATTTTAACATTATTTAAACTTTCATTCTCACGGCTTTTTCATCTAAAGAATGTCACCTCATTAACTCCTCAACCACATTGTATTAGTGAGAATTTAAATAATTTTAAGTGTTAAGGAGATAATTAATTTTCTCATTTCATTAGAGCCAAAGACAGTTTTGTTTTTTGATTACTATAAGGAGGTGATGGGAACGTTAAGACATAGGGCATATTGGGAGTTTCCCAGACTCTGGAGACACGTCCTGGAAACAGAAGTCCCTTCTTCCTTCCTTTTGTTTCCTGGTGAAAAGGTGATGGCTGGGCTCCCCCACACGCTCCGCCATGAAGTGCTGCCTCTCTTGGCCCAAAAGTAAAAGGAAAACCTCCAAATAATGACCCCAAATAAAACTGTTCTCCCCATAAGTTGTTACAGCGTCTGTTACAACAATGGAAAGCTGACTGACAAAACTAGAAATAAGGCACCATTACTTTTCAGTTATCACACCACGAAAAGTAATATTTGTAGGACTTTGTAATAGGACAACAGTAATGCCCAACAGAAAATAAATATGCATATATGGTCAAGAAAATTGATTCCTTAAGCCTACTGAAGTTGAGTATATTCTCCGTAATTTTGTTCTCATAAATTAATCCTCAAGGAATAATCCTAAATGAATTTGGGGAAGACTAATTTGAACATCCTTAGTGTGGCAGTTTGATTATGACTGAATGCTTGGTCACCAGTTGGAACTGCTTGGGAAGGATTAGGAGATGTGGCACATCACTAGAGGTGGGCTTTGAAGTATAAAAGGGCCACACCAGGCCCAGCCTCTCTCTGTCTCTGTCTCTGTGTGTGTGTCTTTCCCTCCCCCTCTTCCTCTCTGGCTGCTGCCTGTGTATCAGGATGTAAAGCTCTCAGCTACTGCTCCCACACCACGCCTGTCTGCTTCCCACCATGATGACTATGAACTAACCCTCTGAAACGGTGAGCAAGCCCCCAAACCAATGCCTCCTTTCATAGTTGCCTTAGTCATGGTGTTACTTCACAGCATAGAACCATAACTAAGCAACTTAGCCTTCCCACTTTTTAAACAGGAAAAAATGTCAGGTGGTTTAAAAAAAGTAAATAAGTATTTCACATCTTTATAGTCAAATTCTGATTCTGACTCATAAACATAGGTTTAGCAGAGACTGAATTAATTATAGCCCACAGTGATTCAACAAGAGCAATGTAGCTTCAGAAGACCTATCAAAAAGTAGTTTTTAGGTCAAAACTAACTGATTAGCAAACATGGCACAAAATGCGTGACTATGCGCTGAGTCTGTTAGTGACATCCTAAAGCTTTCCAAAGTCGTCATTACTATAAGCTCACTGTCCTCATCTGTGAAAAAGCATATCAGATGAAATCAATGCAGGGACTACTAAAAATAAGACACTAGTGTTTCTCTACCAACTTTAAAATCCTTAAAACAAAAATCATTTCCCAAGATAATTTGTAGATATTTCCTTTAATACTATACTTGTACCCTGACTTGGAAACTGTTTTTAAGCAGAGGGTAGACTGCCTTCCCATGCTCCTGCTTCCTGAACAGTATACCCCAAAGGACAAGAACCACAAATGCAAAAGCACACAGAGCTTGGAATTCACAGGGACACACTTCAGTGACAGCAAATCCACCTAAAACACTTAAAAATATAGTCAGGAAATGATCATCCAAAAGAAATGCTGTACTCCAGATATATGCCAAATGTGGTCACTACTGGGGACATGGTCCTTTGTTGGACATAGTTGCTTACAATTATAACTGAGTAACCAGGTGAGAAAGAAAGAAACGGACATTAACTGGAGATCTGCTGCCATGCTAAACACACCTCCTCCCATCTTTTTTACTGTAGACACATTAGTAGAGGCCTGCTATCATCGTTTGGAGAAAGCACAGAAAGAAATGAACAGCACACTTTCATGGCATACATGAGCAGGATATACTTGTCTCACAACCTGGAAATAAGACTGTGTGGCATAAGGATTTGGAAGTACACTTACCCAATGCCCTGAGCTATATTTTCTAACTGCCGACACATACAAGATCGAACTTCATATTCCACATCTTGACAGAGTGATTTTACCAGGGGAAGTATTTCTCTTTTAATGCTGAGGAAGACAGGTTTAAAAAAACATGTAAATTGATAAACATTTTAGACTAATATTTTTAAGTAATTCTCAAAATTTCAAATCACCACATATAAGAGAGAACATCCTTGAGGTTTTAGATTTGTATGTTTAATATGAAGTATCTGTAAAAATCAGGAAGCTATAAGGGGCACATAGATGGAGGAGGAAAAGGCCTTGAGGACGCAGAGAGTTGAGTTCATATGACATGAAAGTAGGACAGGAGAAAATTAGGGATTAAAGTTTTGAGCAGGGATCGTGATGGGAGGATGGAGGGATAAATAAGATGGAAGGTGGGTGTGGTGGGTTGCTCTTCTCCAGGGTGAAGGAATAGGTTGCCCTACATCCATGTGCATGCAGGCAGTACTGATTAATAGATTATTTTTTAAAAGAATAAAAAATGACATGAAAGTGGGAAGGGAAACATTTGGAGTAAAGGGACATTTGGGTTAGATATGTCAAGATAATTATTTATATACATATATGTATGTATATATACATATGACATTGTTAAAGAATAACATTAAAATATTCTTTAAAACCATAATTTACCTTATTAACCATATACTTTAACATTAGGTTGAACAGTTTATGATGCATTTTTACATGTGTTATTAAATTTGAATGTTATCATCAGTTACTTATAACAGTATCTGTTCCAGCAATGAAATGTCAATAGCTAATTCAAAAGACTTTAGTAATGTGATGTCTGGTTCTGGCAACTATCAGTCAAAATATACTTCTGCTTTGACAATCTCATGTTAAAATTCACAACACATCAAATGTGAACATGTGTCATTTGTTATCTAGGTAAAGAGAAGCATATATACTGTAGACATGCTCTGTTATAAGATTACTTTTAAAAAAAGGAATTCATAATAGTGGTCCTAGAAATCTTATCTTTATGTCCCAAGATAATGCTATTTTATCTTTACAAGAAAAGATGGTATGAGACTTGATCTTGAGAATCCATAAAACTGAGAAGAAATGCCTCTAATAGGTAGATTTCTGTCGGAGAAGTCTATATAACTAAAAAGGTTAAGTCTGTGAGTGATATGGAATAATACAAAACTAAGCATTGTTGATACTGCTATTGCATATTTTAAATCAATTTAATTTAATATGAGATAAAATTACATATAAATACTCACCTATGGGCATCAAATTTGTTGGTTAGTTTTCCTAAAATTTTACAGCTAACTAAACGCGACTGGACAGTTTGGGAAAGTTGTGCCTTAGAAACAAGTGGATTCAGAATCTAAAGAAAACAATTTGGAGAATAAAATATAGGAAGTATCATGTATTCTCATCATTAACATCAACTTCTTCAAAGAACACCTTCATGTTTTAAACACGTTTAAAGAATATACATTACAATTGAGATACTTGGTCACTCTTAACCTAGAGCACTTTCTTTGTCTTTTTGGCTAAGGTAAAGATGCCAAGTTATGCAATAAAAATGAATTAAGAAAAAGACTGAAGTAAAACTCATTGCAAACTTTGAAATAAGCTTAGTGCATATGAAGATAATTTTGAAAGTACATTTTCAACAGAGAAAAGCATATTAGTTACCAGATACTCTGATCTTTATTTCACATGGAGTGGTTTTATATTTATCCTAAAAATACAGAAAGTCTATTTAAGAAATTTCATTACTTAAACATAACAATCTAAGTCAAGGGCTATATTCTGCATATACTAGGCATTCAAATATTCAATAGCATGGCACACTGCACAGAATTATGAATAGTGGTCTGTTATTCTAGCACCAACTCTTTAATGTTTAACCTTGCTATTTCTCATCTCAAGGATTCTATCAAAAATCACATCCTAAAAATGCTGAGCACTGTTGAGTAGCAATTGCCTCATTCACATTTACACTGCTCTTCAAAAACACAAAGAGCACATCTCTGCATTATGCTCAGCAGTTTAATATGCATGATGTCTAGATATTTGCCACATTTCTTTTTATTGGGGGTGGTTTGAGACAGGGTTTCTCTTTGAAACAGATCTGGCTGTCCTGGAACTAGCTGCATAGAGCAGGTTGGCCTTGAACTCACAGAGATCTGCCTGCCTCTGCCTCCTAAGTACTAGGATTAAAGGCTTGTGCCACCACTGCCCAGCCCAGGTACACATTGTTATAACTATATGAAACTTGCCATTTTAACTAGTATTCTGGTGTTGTGACTGAATGACAAACTACAATAAGGACAAAGACACAATAAAATCAGTGGAGGATATTTCAATGAATAACATTTTACAATGGTATGACTGCAAAAAAATATATACAGGGTTAAATAATGTTCAAGATTGCTAGAGGACAGATTTGCTGTCTGTCTTTTCTAGTCTATCATCTTAACTCATAATAAAGCCTTTCAAGAAGGGCAGAATTAACCATATCAAAAATTAAAAGATAAATAACCAATTGGGAATAATAATTCTTATGCAAATATGTACAAATGCAACAAAAAATGGCAGAGAGATGGTATGATCCCAGCACTGGAGAAGCAGAGGCAGGTGAATCTCCATGAGTTTGAGGCCAGCCTAGTCTACAAAGTGAGTTCCAGGACAGCCAGGGCTGTTACACAGAGAAAACTTGTCTCAAAAAAAAGAAGAAAATGCAACTAATTTGATACACTATATGAAAAAACAGTCAACAGTGTATTTTTACATTTCCAATTAAAATGTAATTATACCTTTAGCCTATCAAATGAAGTTGGAACACAATTTTTGTTGTTGATTTTGAGGCAGGGTCTCATGTAGCCCAGGCTGACCTTGAATTCACAATGTAGTCAAGGAAGACCTTGAACTCCTCACTTCTTGCCTTCTTCTTCTGAGCACCAGGATTATGAGCATATAACATTCCCCACCCCACCCCACCCCCACCACCCCACCCCCACCCCCACCCTGTGTCTGATTCACAAGCACAGGGTCATATGCATATGAATGGGGTCCTATGCACATGACCTGGGTATCAAACCCAGGCTTTAGTGCATACTGGGCAAGCACTCTAGCAGCTAACCCATATCCCCATAGAGCAGTATTTTTAATAAAAACCCAGGGTAACATTTCACATATTTAGTGAAAAGTTTGAGAATATTAATGTTCTCTCACCTGGTGATGCCACTTCTGTGGATGCTATAGTTAAAGACTACCTGTAAAGCTCTACAGAGATGCCTTTTTTTGATAGTAAAATTTAAGGCTGAAAATAGCTTCCAGCATTAAAAGTAAAACAATTTGCAGCTGCACACAGGAAATAATGCTCACTGAAAAGAGACCACGCTCAGATTCAGTACAATTACTGACATGACAAGCAGCAGCCACACAGAGGGGAAAACCTGAAGGCCATACATCAAGAACTTAAAAGCAGCCAACTACTGAAGTATAAATTATTTTTCTTCCTTACATTTTCCAAATTATTTAAGTCTTCTGCAACGAGCATATGTCGCTTTCACAACGCAAACCAATCCTACTCCTTTAAAAAAAAAATCATAAAGTGAGTTACTATTTACAAAAAGAAAAAAAAAATCACACAGTATTACCTCATGCTTCAGGGTCTCTTTTGGTAATAATTCTATTGCAGAGAGAAGCGTTTCCAGCCATGCATTGCTGACACCTAATGGGCATAGACACAACTTTCTAGGTTAAACATCTCAGGTTCAAATGCACTCTTAACTCATCCATTAACAGCTGCAATCACATTTTATTACAAAATAAGAATAATTATTCTTATTACTACTCTAAGACATTTTCTACAGCTTTTTGTCTTGACAAACTTTAGGAAATTTTAAACACTGAAAAATAATTTGAGGGAGATAACTCTAACTTGTGGTATTCTATTCTCACTGTATGATAACCCCATGAACATAAACATAAAGGAAAACATCTAAGGGAAGAATAACCCCAAGAACACACGGGTGTGTTCTCTCTCCCAAGGGTGTTCCTTAGAGGGACCTCTGCTGTTTTCATTGGGCCCATGGATGGCAAGTAAACTACAGCCATTTGCTAGACACCATAAACAAGAATGCAATTAAGTATGCTCGGCCCTGACCTGTGTCCCTATGCTCCAGGTGCAGGAGAATGATTTGCAGGAAGGAGTGTGCACAGGTGTGGGCTGACATTGATTCTTCCTGCAGGATGGTCAGAAATGACATCGCAGCTGTTAGCTGCATTTCCACACTCGCAACATGCAGCACTTCCTGTGTGATCAGAAAGAATTAACTATTTACAACAATGAGAGATCAAAAGGGAATGTTTGAAAGAGGCAAGGTTAAAGAAAGTGAACGGTCGTGCTCTACAGATGACTAAATACAACCTTTAAGGATTCAACTCTTAATACTTTAAGAGGACCATATTAGCCTGTCCCTAATTCATTTGATGATAAATTTCTTAAGAAGTCTTAAATGTTTTGAGAATTTATACAATAAATAACATTCTTTTGCTTTACCGGATGAAAATGTTAAACCATGTGTAAACCTTTAAAGGACAGGGTAGGTGGTTTTGATGGATTTGAACCTTTACACTGCTAATGGCAATATATAGATGTCATCCTACTGAGCACATAATATCAAAGCTCAATCACATGCATTCTTAAATATAAGAACATTTCTAAACAATAAATTAATTTATAACCATCTAAAAATTTGAACATACATATTCAAATTTAAAGTCTACATTAAAATACACACTTTTAATACATAAAAGGCTAAAATAATAACCTAAGTAAGCCTTATCAAATATCATAACTGTATTTCTCTAGAAACCAGTTGGTTTTAGGGATTTATGTATAACGTAAAGGCAGAACAGATTTTTTTTTTTTGCTCAGTTATGGAAATTGTGAAAATTTCACTCACATGTCAATTTTGTGACTGACAGAGCAAAGTTATCAGAACATCATGATACTCGTTGTCATAAATTTAAAGTTAAATTTTTTTGATCTTGGGAAAACCAACTTTCCTGGCATTATTTCTTGATATAATAAAAGTCATTTACAACATGATCATCACACACATTTAAATCATTTATTTATATAATTTACCAACTTACTGTGCAAATGACCATTTAAATAATGGCCACTGTACATCCAGTATCTTTCCTACACTACCCTTGAGTTCATAGAAGGAATAGCAGCTTGCCCACCCACATCTTCACTGGTCTTGGTCTTGTCCTGAAACCTATTTTTCTGTCACCTTCCTCTCTCTGTTAGTAAATGACAACTCTGTTTATACAAGCTTCTAAGTCTACAAACTTCAGGCTCATCCTTAGCTCCCCGATTCCTTCATTCAACCCATCAAAAGGATCTGTAATCTGATTACTTGTCACCTCTCCCTTATGACCATAGTCTAAACCACCAACAATTCCAGCTTAAATTATCCCAATAACCTTTATCTAGTCTGATTCATCATTGCCCCAATCTTATCCTCCACTAGGGAGCCAGAGAGATTATCTCGACAATTAATAATGCAGACCCTGCTCCTTTCTGCTCAAATCCCCCATGGCTTTCCAGAGTCTCACTCAGAGCCCAAGTTGGTTTTGGTGACTTAAACAGGATCTGCTCACAAATCTTCCTTAGCCCAGATTTCCACATGGTGGCGCCCTGACCTCTTGTACCTGGATTCTGACACCATTTTTAAAGTGAGTCTTCCCCCAACAGTTCTATTTTAAACTACTTCAAAAGAAAACGTTATGCATTCGACTCTTAAAAAGAGCATACTTATGGATATGTAAATGTCATGTTCCCTAACACACCCTCAGCTCACCAGCCCCTAGAGAGGCTCAGGCTATCACCCAACATGCAGCACAGCCCTGTGGACATGGTCTACCTCCCCCAAATGGAGAATGTTTTTTATGACTTTGAGAACTTTTGTCTGTTAGCCCACTGTAACAATTAGTCTGAATACACAGCGTGCATTCAGAATAGAACGTTCTGCTCTTGGTGTTCTGTTTCTTTCTACATACTTTCAACAGCTCCTAAAAGGCTGTATCAAGAAATTTTGAGGAGCCAGGCAGTGGTGGCACATGTCTTTAATCCCAGCTCAGGAGGCAGAGGCAGGTACATCTCTATGAGTTTGAGGCCAGCCTGGTCTACAGAGCCACACCGAGAAACCCTGTCTCGAAAAATCAAAGAAAAAACTATTTTTTAAGGTAGGCCTTAAAGCCTAGGGATTGGCAGAGTCAGACAGAAGGCAAGGCTGAACACACAGGTACACACACATTCTCACTCTTCAAATTATGTCCACACAAAGCTGCTCTTGCTATGCTCCCCCAGCAGCTGTCACCACTGTGTGCACACTGTACCCATAGTCCTCGCTTCATCTGCTGCAGTAAAACAGATACCAGCCATCAGGTGCAAGTCACATAGCTAGTACTCCAGCAGAAGGAACAGCAGGGCAGTGCAGTGCTTGTGGCTGGCCATTGAGTGTACAGCCAACCAAAACCCTACTGTATACTGACTTCTTCCTCACAGATCCCGCATGTCCATTCACCATTAAGACATGATTAATACCGACACTAAGCCTCATGGGGCAGTGAGGGAAATCTCACAATGGTCTTTGCGACATACAGCAAATGTTTATGCAATACAGTTACTTCCCATAAAGCCCACCACTTACTTGTGTGGCTGGTTTTGTTTTGTTAAAAGTATTTGCCTCTCTCTCTCTCTCTCTCTCTCTCTCTCTCTCTCTCTCTCTCTCTCTCTCTCTCTCTCACACACACACACACACACACACACACAATTATGTAAGTTTTTTTTCAACTATCAATTGTGTATCTTAAGAATTTCCAACTAAGAGAAAAAGAAAAAGCATGCTAAGGCAGAGGATATAATTAGTCTCTGAAACCAACCTTCCTATCACCCTTGTTTTTGTGTTCCCAGAATAAACATTCATTCCATACTAACAATTTGGAATCTGGAGAACACATTTTTAAAAACAAAATCTGAGTGGCCAATAAAGAGAGTTACAGGTTTGAAAAGCATAGCTTTTATTTAGAAATAGAAGGAACTTTGTAATCAAATAAACCCTGAGAGCCACAGTGTGCATTCTAGTTCACATGGGCTGCTGTTTTAAGCTCCAAGAGCTGCTTCCTGGCCCCTAATGTCACTACAGCCTGGGTTTTCACAGAGGCAAACTGCACACAGAGTAGAAAGGAAGAGCTTCCTGCTTTGTCTTCTTACTGTACGACTTAACCTTGACTCTCGCAGCAATATTGGCCCCAACTATTTGGCATCTGATTTAAAAAAATCCTCCAGTCTTGTCAGGATTTTGGTCTTCAACATCTGGGACTGCCCACTGTTAAGAAACCAGCACAGACTATGAGATTTCATCACTGCTTCAAAAAACAAACAAACAAAAAACAAAAGAAAGAAAGGAATTAATTTTTCTGAAATGTAGTATAATAAATTTCATACTTACCAATTAGTGTTCTCCACAGAATCACACCCTCTGAACAAACATCATGAAATCCATACTCCTGGGATAAATAAGTGCATCCTCGTGGACCTTGGAAGACACTGAAAAGTAAACTCCTCCATTTGCTTAGGTGCAGGCCTGAAGGCCAGGTAATATACTACTGCTTGGCAGGCAGCCCAGCCTAAATTCTTCACAAATGAAAGGAGGCATTTCATCATTGAGTAATGGGGCATTCCAAAGTGTTTAAAACTAGTCCTGTTGAAGGAGAGAGGACATGCTAGGTACTTCTATACTCCACTCTAGTTAGTATTTTATGAAATAGTGTGCTGCCTTCCTTGCAGAGAGAGAAATAACTGCCTTCAATGAACCCATATTATATCCATCAAAAATTATTTTCTCTTCACAATGTACAACAAAGTGTTAGGTAACTGTATCCTAGATTCACATGTTCTAAAATTACTAAAAAAAACCAAGAAGTACATTACAACACTGATAACAGGAACTTAAGTATTTGGGGGATTAAGGGAAATTCATGTGGGAACTTTTAGTAACCAACAATAGGTGGCAGCTCTTTTATTATAGAATTATAACATTTACAAAAGATTAAATATGAGCTACAGATAAACAGATAGAATGTGCCAACTCTAAGATGCCTGTAACAATTTACTCCCATACCTCATTCTCTTCCTCATCCCAAACCAAAAGAAAGAGCTGGGAGGAGAGCTGGCTAAAAACAGGAAGTCAGGCAGGAAGGGAAATGCACAGCAGATAATAAACCAGAACAGTGAAGAGATGTATGCAGCCATTCTTTAAATATACACTTCAGTGACTAAGCAGAGAATTGACGAGGGTGTATACAAACAATGTCTTAAGAACTTTTTTGTAAAGGGAGTAGCAATGGTCACTCTTACACTATTGGATATGAGTGAATAAATGCCCTGCCATGCAAAAATACAGGGTCACCAACAGAAATAACAAAATAAAAAAGAAGAGAAGGAGAAGGAGTAGTGGGGAGAATCAAGATCTTAAAACTGCACTTTCAGTAGTTTATAAGTCATTCTTATACATAATAAATTAGAAACATGGATTTTGGAGGTCCAGTGTAATATGTAAAGTAACAGTTTAACACTTTGCAAAAAATGTGTTTATGAAAAGAAATGCCTACTTAATAGGTTCAGTAACTGCCATAAACACTTCATATGACCCATAAAGTATTTAATTAGTTAAACATTTTGTGAGGAAAAAAAACTATAAACTACTTTCTTTAGTGAACAGTAGTAATGGAAAGTTTAGTGATTTCTATAAGCAAATGGAAAGTGTTTTTCTAACAGTCAAATTTTTTTCTTATCCTAAATTTACTCTCTAAAACATTCTAGTAAGACTCATTTTTAGGTTTCTATAAATAAGTTTATTATCAATCTGTCACTGAAATGAAACCCAACAAGTACCTAACAAACAAGTTGAAAAGCATCGTAAACAAAAAGCTAACACTAGGTGGTGCATGAAACTGCCTCAAAGTGGAGTGGAAGACCCAAACACAAATAAACACACACACACACACACACACACACACACACACAAGCACGCACGCGCGAAGGAAAGGATGGGAGGGAAAGAGAGGGGAGGAGAGGAGAGGAAAAGGGGAAAGGGGGAGGGGAGGGGAGAAAAGGGGAAGGGAAGGGAATCTCACATAAGAAAAGCAAAAAAACCAAGTCTCACACCAGTGGTTGGGTAACCCAGCATCTGGAAGGTGGAGGCTCCAAATCCCAAACCAGAAACAAAACTACAAA